CCAACAGAAAAAGATGAATATTGCAAAAATAATTGATTCGATTTATTGGAAAAGCATTTGCTATAATATCAACGTAACACTCAAAGAGTTAACAGAGAAAGATTATTTATGATCGTCTTCGAGGCGATAAACCGCAAAGCACAATTTGAAACTGGATGTCTTCGAACACCTAATTCCACGAAGACGAAATTAAACGCTAGGAAGTTGTATAGTGTTTGTCTGTTGGAAAACGTTACGGCCCCCATCAGACAAATGACAGCGACAGGTGGATAGAAGCATCGACAATGAAAATAGAAACAGTCTGTACGAAGTGTCGACTGTGAACCTGGTTTCTGAAAGCATTATACCATTGCTTGTCGAATTTCTGCAGAATTATTATGGCAATTGCAAATTTGATTACATATCATTAAAAGTATTTTAGAAGAAAAATGGCAGAAAGCACCAATAAAATTTTAGTGGCATAAGGAATCAACAGAAACTTGAATATTTCCTAATAGATAATACCAAGCTATAAACCATTTGGTTCCAACCAAGAATTAGATATTTTTTGATACATAAAGAATACCGATGAGACGTTTGTGTAGTCATTTTCTTTAGACTTTAAGCTTCAAATTGAAGTGCCGTAAGAGCCATTATAAGATACTTTTATTCTATAAAAGACCGAACCATAAATACCACCCTACTTCATTACTTGCTATGATCATGAATCAGCCATTTAGTATTAAGAATACTGATGAAACCCCTATGTCACCATATTCACCACATCTTAAGCTTTCAATTGATACGTTACAAGTGCCATTTTGCAATAATTTTCAGTCATGAAATTCTATCAGACTTTTTAAGTATGAAAATCTACCGTTTGATATAATAGCACCTAATAAATATGTATATACATAATAAGACTAGTGTTTGTAACGTAATCCATGAAGAAGTAGTTTTAATCCGTGTTTAAAGTACTCTTTCGGAACCCTCGAGGGAATGGCACGAACATGGAAGCTGATCCGGGGGACAGGTGGATCTAAATAAAGACTGGACAAACGCCAAAATCTCCAAGATGGCTGAACCCGAGGCGTTGTCGTCGTCGTCGTCATCGTCGTTGTCGTCGTGGATACTCGTCGTCGGCGACGGCGACGGCGACGGCGACGCTCCGTCCTGATAACTTACGACACCACGGATTCACTAACACCGAGAAAAGTCTCTTTGACATAGAAAATGTCCCTCAACCGGTGTTGGATTTCACTTTCCCACCTACGACACGCTAATTCGAGGACATTTGCTCAGAAACACGAATATATGTATATCGTTGGGTGTTTGACGTAAATGATATTCTTGCACATATCCACGTGGACATATCAATAGATTTACACGTTTGCATGTTTCCACATCCGTCAGATTGATTGAACGATCCCAAAATTAACTTTGGGAAGAAATGTTCACAAATTAATAACATTTGAGATTTTCTATACAGACAAACTTAAGTCTGGATAATTTTTTTTTAATTATCCATATTTAATTAGATAATAAAAAAATTCTCAAATATTGCTTATTTAAGCAAATCAATTAAATATTACATTTTAATTTTTTAGAGAAGAATTTTTATTAATAGTGAATTCTTTCTTCATAAATAAATACGAATTAATTTGAAGGTGTAAAAATTAATTCTGTCCTTTTTTTATTGAAGATTTATTTTAAAAGTAACTTTTTGTTATCATATTTTCGCGACACTTTTTTACGTAATTAAGAAGGCGTAATATTAAAGGCACCAAATTAATTTGTACACCTAATATAATTTTAACAGAATTCAATTGACCGTAAATCAATTCTATTATCTTTTCTATAAAATTGATTAGAGAAAAGTCGGGGCGTCTACCTCAGCGTTTCGACCAAGAAACTTCTCTGAAAATGCTCTTCAGAAGAAGGAAAAATCACAACGTGTTACTATTATACCTCTGTAAAATTAAATGATAAGAAATTTTTTTGAACTTTTATAAGGTTCCCCTGACGACAGACGGTACACCGTGTTATATTAAAATTCCAAAAAAACCACCACGTACAACACCAAATAAAAAAAAAAAATACAACACCAATAGCGACACCAAGTGTAGTGTAAGCCTTCACCACACACACAAGGTTATTAATTATTATAAAGGTTAGCGGAGCCTGTACACTCGACGAACCTTTCGTTCAATCTAAATACAAATTTCGCTCGAAATTCGTTAGTTAATAGATCCTTTCCTCCATTAGATACGAAACTCATATCGACTGGATTTGTCATCGAGAAAACGTGACGATTTTTGTCGATTTTGAGAAAATTTTCCTTGTCGACCTTCGGTATCGTTCGAATTTCAGTGGAACACCGAAGAATCTGGCCGGGCCAAACGAGGTAAACCGCGATAAAATCGATTGTCACGATGAAAAATTAATGAACGTTGTCGTGTTTCGCGGCGATGCGGGTCGATTTCCGGCGCGAAACACGGGAGATCCACCGCTTCAAAGAATCGCTCGTACAGTTCATAATTCAATGAAATTCAACCGTGCACAGTTAATCTTTACTCGTTATTTTGTTGCCTTTTTCCTTCTTTCTCTTTTTTATTTCGTCGATAATCGAAGGAATTATGTTTCATGAAATACCGTTCAAAAGGTGTTGAAACTTCGCGAAATTTAAACGTACATTGCCATTCAACAGTTTGGAGCACTCTTTCATCTTTTGCAAGTAACGTGGATTTTTACATTATGTGAAATGTGATAATTTCGTGACGCGCAAGACTCTCATTATATTGCCACGTGAGCGATTTGACGGTCACATGAATTTTAAAGCACACTAGTGCCATTACTTAATATACTATTGAAAAAATTCTTTAATCAAGATATGCTCCAAACTTTTGAACAGCTAAAAGTTATTTAAAAAAATATTTACAAATGTTGATGATATAATTATTGCACAAACGACTATAGGTCTTCCAACGTTGTAGAAATTTAAATTAAAAAAAGACAGGCTAACGTGACTGTATATTTTACAATTATTATTGTCAACGACCCGCCACCAAAAATAATAAAAAAAAGAAATTGAACACAGTGCACGCGAAGATACTTTTTAATTAAAAATAAAGATTGAAATATTTGACGAAACACACAAAGAATGTCACAAAAGGTGCAGTGAAAAGTCTATATTTAAACGAAGTCGGATCACGTTTTAAGTTGCTAATGAATTATTGATGATCAATTATGCGTTATTATTCATACGAATTATGGAATCTGGGTTTCGACGAAAACCGTTCTTACGTTACCTCGTTGTTATTGTTAACATTATTTCGTTCGCCAAGTTATATTATTAATTAGAAATAAAGTAATAAAAGAATTCCTATCAACATTGGCGTAACTATGCAGGGATCAAAGTGGGTCTGGCCCCTATAAAAATCTGCAGTGACCCTGTCCAAAAATGTGGACCCTCGCCATTCTAAAATTTTAGGATTCCAATATTACAAATCTTCGAAATTTCAGAATTCCAAAATTCTGAGCTTCTGAAATTCTAAAATTTCTAAGGGACCTGACCCACCCCAGAACAAGCTCAAAGTTACGCCAATGCCTATCAAACTGATTGATTACAATATATACTAACGTTACTGTAATTATTATTATTATTATGATTAAGAAAAAGAGTGTAAAAAGAGTAAAGACCAAAAAGTCAAAACCAGTAACAAACAAATCTCTCAGCAACCGCAATCATTATCATATCACTTCACGTCAACCTCATCAAGAAAGAAGAAACAAAAAAGCACAACCAAAAAAAAATACAGTAGTAGAAGAAGAAGAAGAAGAGGCCGATCCTCAGGAAGTGTTTTTGATTTCGTAGAAATAAATTCGTAGGTACTCATGGCTTCTGATACGTGTGCGTGTGCCGCGTTCTCTTTCTCTCTCCCTCCCTTTCCTCCCTCTTTCTCATTGCTTGCAAATATTTCTGCCCTCTTTATTTCTCTTTCTTTATCTCTTTCTCTCAATTTCTTTCTGTCTCTCACTTTTCATTTTCGTTTCGTGTTTCTGTATTCTCTTTTATTTTATTTTTTCTGTTCGTCTCTCTTTTATACATATTTGCCCTCCATAGAAACGACCCTTGCCACTCTCAAGGATCACGAAAAGAGAATTCTCTGCTTGCTCCTTTACGCGCACGCGTCAGGATGCTGAAACGTTATATATAAGTCTGCCTTTAAAAAAATGTTTCATTATGGTATAAACAAACCGAGAGACCGTCAGTCAAGCGAGTACCTTCGTTCTCGATTATCTTTTTCTTTTCTATCGACCTCTTGCGACTCATTACGGTTTCCCTAAAACTGCCCCTTTATCGCGGCAAGTAAAAATGATTCGATTTAAAAAAAATCAGAGAAACAATCATTCTCGATACATTTCTCTCCGAATGTTTCTTTTTTTTTTTTATTTAATTGGGATGTGAGGTACAGTCTGTGGCATAGGAGCAATATATTTTTTTAAAGATTTGACAAAATTTTGGCTGTGTCAAATTTGTAATATTATTATTATTTTGTTAATAATATAAGGTTGCAGACTGAAAATTAAAATTTGAAAATTAGCTACTGATTGTCCTTGGTATTCCAGAAATACAGTAATAAATATTCTTAGATTTTATAATTTATATTAAATAGCGCGTTAATTTAGATATCGCATAAATAATTATTTTCATTTTAAAAGTGTCAAATTATGTAAGAAATTTTCTAGTATAGTACATCTGATCCTATGTTACAGACCATACTGCACATTTAATAAATGTTTGAGAAAATATTGTGAATAATTCGTCTAACCATTCAAAATTGAATAACTAATTCTTTTTCTTCATTATATAGTCGCATTATATGAACTCGAATAATACGATTTTAAGTCGCGTCAACTCCTCTTGACATACGCTATTTTTACGTTAGCTACGGTTACGACATATAACGTTCTTTTAATATCCTTCGACAAAAATTCAAATCACATCAATGTCGACTTACCCATATTGACCAGGAAGAACTGCGGGATATCCAGCTCGAATGCCAGCAGCGAACGGGAATGCTGAAATCATAAACAATTCCAAGTCAATCCTATTTACGTTTCTAATGGCCAGCCCTGAACTCGAGCACCTCGAGTTCGTGTAAATCGAACATCCTGTTCTTTTGCGAATACCTTACGATACCTTCGTTCTATCTAATCTAGCCGGAAAAAGAACATGTTTCGTCATAGATTGTTTAACGACTCAAGACATACTGCTTTATGATTTTAAAACTTTTGTTGCATTTTATATCACAAAATGAATTTTTCAAATTAATTCATAATTTCTTGAAAGCTTATTGTTGAATTCTATGCATAAAGTTCCTAATTTTAGGCATCGTTGGCCAACACGAAGACAGACATGACTTTTGTGCACGAAAGAAAAGAAACAAAGACAGAGCCGGCACTTGGGTTAAGGCAATTTTAGACTTAGGTGCCAAAGCACCAAACTATGTTGGCTTGAAGCCATCGCAAGGGTTTCAAGGAATGACTCAAGCGACTCTTTTCAATCTGTGACGTCCTTTGCCCTTTTCAGCCCCTTTTAAACTCTGGCCCCGAAAATCATTTAATTAAATAAAATGCAAAGTTCACTTTCATTCATTTCTTTCTCCGGGAAATATAAATTTCTATGGCTTTCAAGATTAATACTGAATTTAGAAATTTAATTACCAGAACTCTCGCAATAATATTTCATCAGTGTTGGACACACGCCCTCCAAGATCAATTGCTCAGAAGAATTATTATGTTCTTCGTCCAAGAAACGTATTATCGCTCACGATGGATGAGATTTTCCGATCTGGCGATGTTACAACGACGTAAAACTCGCGACAATGACGCGCAAAATCATCTCAATGACTTGAGATATCATTTTAGAATTTTTCGGTGTCTCGTGACAAAGGTATGATTTATCTAACACGAAGAGGATTTGAAAATAACTATGACGTACCTTTGAATTAAATAAACGCCTAACCACTCGGAATATATAAAACTTTCAACTTTGAGCTACAAACTGAAAAGTGTTCAGTTAAAGAATCAACAAAATCACAGCAAAAAGTCATTCAAGCGATAATAATTCAAACATCACCATCTAACTATGAAATATTTATTTCTGATATCAACTTACTCGCTTGCAGATTACCCCTGGGCTTAGCTCCAAGAATCGCCAGGTTGACGTTTGCTTTGCGACCATCGATTATGGGGTTTGGGTCTTTGCACGCCCTCTCCGCTGCTGGTCTGTCCCCCATGATCACCTGCGTGCAGATTTGATCGATTATTCGATTAATCCTTCCGCTTCCATTCCGATCTTATGTTCCCGTCCTTTGTTACTAATTTTCGGCAACTCGATGCCCTCACAGTATTTATTTTAACTATGTCTTTTTGATGGGATAAGGAAATGATATGTAATAAGTGTTAGAATAGAAATTAATTCCTTAAGGGTGAATCATATCCCTTTATTTATTCCACATGTAACGTAGATGAATCCTAGAAAAGGGGTTGTCATATTTTTATCAAATGTTATGAGGATGGAATTTTTAATTATTTCATGGAAAATGTAATATTATGGAAATAGACCCTAAGGGGTTGCTGTTAAGAAACTAGGAACAGTGCTTTTATTATCCAAAAAACAGGAACTGCCCAGGGATGCTATAACCGACGATACTAACGCCTAGTTTACACTGATAGAGTATACCAGCGTTAGGTCTAGTTTACATTGATAAAATAAGCGATGGATTATATTAACGTTAGTACCCTGGAATAGTAGAAGAAGGCTAATAGTAGAGTTACTCAACCTCCTTTCCAATATAGACTATACACTTAGAAACTTAATTTTCTTCAATCAAAGAATAAGTTAAGAAAAGAAATCTTTCATCACTTGTCTAACTAACTATTAATTCTTAAGCAGAGTTTACATTGGTACAGCTACTTGCACCAATTACTGATCGATTAACTAGTCTCGTTAGCATACCTTCTTGAACTTAGCATTGTTCAGTACTTGTACAAGTACTTCTACATACAATTTACACTGGGTTAGTACCTGTCTTTCAAATTAGTAACACTGTAACAATGTAAACCCAGCTTTACGCGCGAAGACAAGAGGAGGTATACCCTTCTGAAGAAACCTAGGCATAAGTGTCAGGATAATGATGGAAGACTCCTCCTTCTCCCTTTTAACTGAACAAAACTTACTGGGGTCGTAAATGCGGAGGTAATAAATACCTGGATATTCTAATGACCTGGATAAAACTTTCATTTATGGAAAATAGCCCCATGATGCAGTATAGACAATTAGAATTACCAAGGGGTACCATCGGTGGATTTTTCAATGTAAACTTTCAATTTACTATCTTTTGTTATTAACATAATGTTATTAAAAAGGTGTGATCTATTTTCTTAGTTTACAATTAGGTAATTATTAATTATACTAAATTTATGGTGCCTATCACCGGTGTTTTGGTATAAGTTTTAATTATTCTACTTATTTTTCATAAGTCAACTTATTAAATGAAGAAAGTATTTATTAATTAGGAAAAAAATTAATCCTATTCCTAAATTCACCCTATTCCTATGTGAATGTTTGATACTAGGCAAAATGAAAAATTTCTAAATTACCATTATAAATTCATTAAAATATTGAAATTTGATGACAATACTTTTCAATTATTTTTTTACGATAAACACTATTTTATATTCTTTACACGCTCAACCTAAATATGATAAGAAAAAAAGAGAACAGAGTAGTTAAAATTGCTATGAACGCTTTCGGTGATGATAATATTACGGTAAACGTGACGCTAGAAAAAACGTGTCGTTCGAATACGTATGCACAAACTGGTTGTATTATCATGATAAATTATACCACTATCTTTGCGCACTTACTTAACACATTCGCTTCAACAACAAATAACCTAGTAGCAAACAAAGATCGAAGAATTTTCTCCTATTCTTGTCGTAATAAAATTACAAATAAATGTAACTCAAAACATTACTAACAAATGTTCAAACAAAAATATGTATATAACTGATAAATGAAAACTACTCGTTCTAAGCTATTCACAAACTAAAAGCAACTCACAGCAACAATGATCAATCAACAAAAACATCGAATCAATCAAATATTTACGATACTTACAAAACCATATCCCCTACTTTTGCCGGTTTGCCTGTCGGTGATAACAACAGCCTCCTCGATGTCACCGTATACGTTAAAATGTTCCCTAAGGCTTTTGTCGGTGGTGTGATAAGGTAAACCTCCGACGAATAATTTCGTCCATGTAGTGTCTTTTTGTTGAGGCGTGGTACCGGCTAATGCACCGAGGCCCGAGACCAGCTCGTCCGGCCCTGGCGCCCCGACGGCACCCACAGCGCCGACGGCACTGAGACCAGCGGCACCAGGCATCAACATCCTCCAAATTTTGGCGAGATCACCGCCGGACGAGAGAACGACTTGCTCAATTTTGACACCTTGCTCGTTACCTGGGTCAACGCTAACTACGTCACAGGCTCAACAGCATCTAGGCGACTAGTGTTTTGGGTACCTGTAAATACAAAAAAAAGAATATTTTCATTAGTTAATTCATAATTAGGAGACCTCTGTATAGCACAGTGCAAAAATCATGGTACTGCTGAATCATCATTCAACCGATCAATATCAAATCATCAAGCAAACATTACAAATAAAAATATTTAAATCCATTTTTATATATCATTGTTTCATATTATTTAACCCTTGAACAGCTTGAACGTTTGATAATTTATTATTGATATTATTAATATTTATAATTGAGACTCTCTCCATGGTCCGCCATCCGAAAGTTAATATCTATGGCAACTTGCACAGGTAAAATAAAAATGTTAAATATACGTGTGAATAAAAAAACATTGCTATTAAAATTAAGAGCCAAGTAACACATATTAGATAGTTTATGACACTTGATGAAATATTTAGAAAAGACAAAGGTACCCTTAGTACATTTTTAGAATTAATTGTTCTCAACCTGAACGACCCTCCAACAAATCACATTGCCCTATAAGACCTTTACAAATCATACATGAGGAATAAAACAAAAATGAACCATTCCTTCCCTTTTGTCTGACACTAGCTACCATCCCACCGTCTCCTCTTCAATAATACCCTAAAATCGATGACTCTATCGTGCATATAAAAGGAAACAGATAAAAATCCCTTCCCAACGCTCGAACCCTTGGTACCATTAGGGGAAAACCGTCGAAGCAACGGGAACAAGAAGAGGAACTGGCAGCACGGATACAACGAGAGGAAGGACACGGAAAGGTACCTCGAAGGAAAAGAAAAGGAAAAAAAAAGGGCAAGGAGAAGGGACCCTGACCTCCATTCAAGGCTTGGTAACGGTCTGAAAAGGGAGCCAGTTTTGCTTCTTGTGAACAGCAGAGCTAGAGAGTAGTGGGGTATTTTTCGAGTTTCTGCAATGCTGCAGGCGAGGATAGAGCTAGATGCCTACAAGAAAGAGGCCCTCTCTCTGTTCCGCTCTTTATTCTTTCTTTTCTTTTTTCATCATCCTCTTTTCGCTCTTTCTTTCTCACACTGATATTGTGCAGACCACAGGTACACAGAGAGGAGGCCCTGCGAAACGGGGCCCTACGGTTCTCTTCCGACCCCATCTCTCCCCACCCCACCTGCCGCACCACTACCAGCGCCATCCCATGACAGTGCACCACTTCGGTGGAACGGCCCTAACGTCGTACGTTTTTGTTGGATCCCCCAAAACGACGGCAGCTGCCGCAGAAAACCGGTGCAGCACGCCGTATAATCATATTGTTGTATTGCCATCGGGCTACTCCTCCTCCTCCACCATCGTTCTCGTTGCTCTTTCTCTCTTGATCCCTTCCTTCTTTCCCTCAATCCTAAAACCAAATGCAACTAACGTCGGGACGTTCGGTTGAGCATAAAGGCCGCTTTTCTGAATGCAGCTACCGTGGAAGCAACGACCGTGTTACGTGCATGCCTGATAAATAACATCGATGCTTTTACAATTTCATTTTTTCTTCTCTACGTACACAGTGAGCCTCATTAATATTTAGAGATAATGATATATTTCACTCGATAAATTAAATTTTCTGTTTTCAAAAAAATAAATGTTAGATTATCTTCAGAGATATATTCGTGCTTGTAAATCATAATGAGTAATTAAGACGCTGGAATTGTACTATATAATTAACTTGTTACTGGTGTACAATAGAAAAAATAATGAAGAAAGTTTTGAATTTATAAAGTTCCAAAGTTCCATGAGTGCGTGGCATAAAGGGTTAATAAAAGGGTTCTTAACTTTTTGTTTTATACGCTTTGACACAGATGAAAATCAAAATCTAAAAAATGGTATAATATGCTAGGTGCGTGGTCTGAAATTATATTAATTCATTTTATGTTGTTCTATAATAAGAAATATAGGGCGAATTTCCAATTGGAAACTTGTAACGAACTTCTTAATTAGCTATCGCTCAATATTCCTATTTACAATTAAAAAATGAAATTTATGCAATGGAAATATTTTTAAACACCTACACTAAGAAATGTGTCATTGCAAATAATATTTTTATTTTATTTATGTTCAGATGTTATGTTAGATAATTTAATGTAAAAATGTACAAGCACAGTTTCCCACAGAGGCAACCCTAGCGAAAGGGTTAAGTTAAGGGTTGAGGGTTGGAAATGGTAATCGTGACTGGAGTACAATTCACAAGCACCTGATGACAAACGATTGCATAAAATAGTGAAACACTGCATTTTCTTCAGAAATCACCAATATCTCATTGAAAGAAAAGGTATAAATACTTTTGGTACTCACTATACCTACTTTACTTTATTAGAAAATAGATTAAATGCAAGAAGAACCGACAGAATATCCAACTATTGCAATTTCTAACGAGGGGAATATAGAACTTTCTAAACTTTACACAATTAGAGGTGCACTCAAAAGTAATAATTTCTCAAAATCAAACGTAACTTCTCACTCACCGATGTGAATGAAGCTTTATGTATTTATAAGGTAATCCATGACAGGAATAACGGGGTCCCTTATCCATGTGCAATCATTTAAGGGTGTAATGAGGAACTTTAAAGTTAAAGGGGTACTCCATTTTTAAAATACCAGAAAAATTTATTCCCCGAACGGCGGACCACGAAGAGAACTCCAATTTTAATTTTATTTTATTCTTTTATGGCAACTTTGACGATGTAAAAATTATTCTTCCAATACATAAAACTCTTATTTAAAAATGATACATTTAACTTTAAATTAATATTCCTGTATATGTTTTGTAAGATTTGGTCACGATTTATCTGCTGTTCAAGTGTTAATAGAATAATTAATGTTAGAAATTTGCACTGAGTTATTAAAAATAATATTATCAAAATTCCTTTTTAGGAAAAAATCTTTTGTACTTTGATAGCAATAGAAAGTACCTATTTAAATTTGAAGTTATTTAGTACTCACACCCCTAAAGGACACTTTGGCACGGACGAAGCATACCGTTATTCTTTTCACGATTCGCTCTATAAACCCACAAAATTTTATTGAAATCGGTGAGTTAGGGCTCGCGGTGGGCCCTTGTTGAATGTCTAGTTAACTGTTTGAATTGTATTAAATTGCAGAATCAATTATAGTCTACCGGTGAAGTGCTAGGTGTAACTCGTAAACGCATAAACCCATAAATGCTTGGTTTAACGTGGCTAACGCTTTATCTTTAGGGGATTCTCCAGTTAATACAGGTCAAATAATTAACCAGACATTTAAGCAAATTTTTGCCAAATTATTATTTTTGAAATTTCCTCTAATTTTGCAAAATTTTGGCCCAATTGGTGCTCCAAAAATTGTATACTTGAAAAAATTCAAGTATTTTGAAAATTAAAATATTCAACAATCTAGATATTTGTATAATATATCACTAAATTATTCGCTGATTAGATATTTATCTCCTTCGTTACTTATGAATTCTTTGAACGTGAATACTTAAATTACCATTTTCAAGATAACAAAGGAAAAAACAAAACAAATGGTAGAAACATGTTTTAGTTTTTGTTAGAAGACGCTGTGTGAAAGAGACTCGAGTAACATTCAAAATTAGAAAGTTATTTAAAACGAGAACGTTTGTGCATTTGGTTCAGTGCACAAGAATCTTCGCACTAAGTCGAATAAAACGATTCTATTAAAAGTAATATCGGTTATTCGCGATTTCTATAAATTAATTTTACTTTTTCAATAAGAAGAAACTTATACGGTGTGACTGTGTTTCCATGTACGTTTCGTAAACTTTCTTTTTTAATGGAAATCAGCAATCAGGACTAAAAAGCATTAGAAAAAATTATACTTCTTATACTTCGTATACGAAATTATACTTCTTCAAGAAAAAATCATCTTTTGCAATTTAATGTTCACAGCCAGCCATGCACCCATGTTGGTCTCCATATTACCATATAAACAAATGACAACAATTTTTCATTACTAAATAATAATTTACATCGATAAAAGTTACATTTCGTTAAAAATATTCATTAAAGAAGTTTAAAAAAATTAATCGTACTCGAATTAAGTACAGAAAATTCAAGTTTCATTACTGCAGAAGAATAATGTTCTAAATAAAAAGTTTATTTATTTAAGGAAGAGATTACGCCCCTTGCTTGAAACTTTTGAACAGCAATGTACACAAGTGTCTATTTTAAACTTTCTTTTATCCGTCAGTGTATACATGAATTAAAATTTCCAAGTGCATGTATCATACAATTTTCATAGAAATAATTAGTCTAATGGTCTCGCTACGATGCTACCATGCTTTTCGATCACGGAGCAGCCTTGTGTATTCGATACTGGCCGATTGCCACGCGCTCGACAAAACTCACTAAAATATCTTCTCGGCCAAAGTCGCAAAGGCCAGACTTTCAGAAAACAAGAGATCATACTTGTCTCTTTTGTTCGTGTATCATGTAAAAAGTGCAAACTTTTACCAATACAAGTATTAAACTGTGACTCTAAGATTTCTAAATCTTCAGTTCTTATTCTGTTGTGGAAGGTAATACTGTTCCAGGTGAAACCGTAACAGCATGTACGTTTTATAATATTATCGTTCAGTTATTTGCATCTTAATTGAAACACTTGTTGAAGCATAACTGAGAATGATTGTGCGTATCGAAAAAAGAAAATTTATGTTTCAATGATATTTAATATTGCATAAATTTGATTGATATTAACCTTTTCAAGTATTCAACAATCAGATGCCTCTTAAAACTACATATTTTTATATTATTAACAATTTTCAAATTTTTTAATTTATCTTCAAAATAAAATGTTTTTGGAAAGATTAAACACTATAGTTCATGAAAATAATTTTTCTCAGTAAAAATGACTTTTCATATATTAATAGTTGCAATATAAAAATGATTATTTAATACTAGAATAATTTAAAAATTAATTAAAATGATGGATTTTAAATTATAGAAAACATTAGGGTGCCTTTGTCAAGGTAAAGAATTTATTTTCCACCCTCCATTTATTTATTTTTCCAATTATGGAGCCCAAATTTTCTAAAAATTATTCTTCCTATATATGAAACGCTTTTGTTTAAAAATTATATATTTAACTTTAGATTAATATCATTTTATACGTTTTGTAAGATTGGGTCTCAATTAACTCGGACTCTACTGTTAAAGGGTTAAGAATAGTTATGTAAAAATTATTACAGAGTAACAAAAACATTAACAAGTTAATAATTGAAAATAACAATATAGTTAAAAAAAAACAATATGTAAAGTAAAATTAGAATTTATTCGTCGTTAATAATATCCACACGAAAATATTTTTCGCGAAAAGGTGCACTCCGTAATAATTTCGCAGGAAAATGAAAAGAACCTAAAAGATAACGATGCCCCAGACGATTGTAATCTCCTGCAGAAGTTTTCAAGCCTTCTGCTGAAGAGAAATCGTCCAGCCGACGTCGAGGTTTATTAATAAACGTCGTGGTACACGTGCCCGTCGTAGTGTACCCCTTTGTCGCGACGAACCCGCTGCAACCGGGGGTGAAACAAGAACAACCGAGAGAATAAGCAGATCGTTTTACGAACCGTGCAAGATGGCTCCCGCTAAAAACATTTGTCCATCGCCCACACAGAATTTTTCTTCGGGTTCAATTCTAATCTATTCAAACGTTCAGCATAACCTAATTCTAACGTGACCTTATAACGCGCCCTTTTGATTTACCGGCCTCGTTCGGCGTCCATTAAAACGTTTCAATCCATCAACTTACAGTTTCGTAACATTTGCAACGAAGTATTTATATCGATATTAATTAAAAACTTAGAAATATACAGTAATACGAATAAGAAATAGAACTTAAAAAAACTTTGTATACGATGGAGTAAGAATCTTTGATACGCACCTCTAACTTTTTGGAGCACTGTCACTAGATGCACTATAATGTTGTCGTTAATCCCAATGAAAATCACCAGGAAGAAAATCACACTAACAACGTAACTCTATTTCTTTTACTAGCTAACAAAATATATCTATGTATCTATTAATAGTAAAAGTCGTCGTTAACAATGCACAGAGACAACTCGGTTACTTCAGTTACCGCGAGATAAATTAGTCCGGAAATTTTGTAGGTTTTTCGGTTTTCCGATCAAATTAATATCCGGCCCGAAACACTATTTATGACACGTACGTGGTAACTGACGACGTCCTTTGCAATTGGCGATGTTCCCTGCGCGCACACATCCAACACGAACGAAGACCCACGTGCGAGTACCGAACTGCCTTTAAGTTTGCTGTTACCGTGCTGCCCGCCAGTTCGCCGGGTTTCTCTCCGATTTCTCTTTCCATTGGTCCACCGCCTATCCCCACCGCCGCGCGCCACCAGTAGCGTAGCTGAACGACGAACAAACGTGACACCCGATGAGATGCAAAAACTTGAACCGACCAGCGACGACGTGTTGACAAATCTTTCGTCATTTTTGTTTCGCCAGAGGATTTTAAATGGTCGTTAACCGCGAAACAACATTGCTTGCATTATTACGAAATATTACGTATTTAATCTCTTAATACCTGTTGGTATAATTATTATAAAATTTATATACGTGTTGCAGAGCAAGTTTGGTAAAATGGTACTTAAATAAAATAACGGTACGAAGGAATCATTTATGCCAATAATGGTTAAGTTATTCTGTTATTCATAATATTCTATGCAATTCTACTTCTTTTTATCTATTGTTGAAGGCTGAAGAGATTTTCGAATAGAAAAATAAAGAAACCAACTTTCTTACATTATTACAACATATAATAATATAATTATTCTACTTGCTAGTTACTTGCAAGAGTTTTTGCCTTTCGAAATACTTGATCAATATTTGAACCAATTTGCGAGCTTCTTAAATCTGTTACTACCTCAACCTTCTACTGACGGAGCCGGGTCAATCATGACCCAGACCTTTCAGGCTTTAACTGTCAGGTACTTAACTTCTTACACGAAATACTTTTGTGTATGTTCCAAAAACGAGTATGAAACTTAGAAAAATAGAAATGATAAAATATCTAAATTCTAAATCGTACAAAGAATTAGACCTGGATCCATGGTCCGAGGGTTAAAAGTGGCAGCACGAAATGATCCTGCAGGATCTACAGGGAAAGTCCGTATTCCGTCGAGGAGTATCAGCTGTTCGAATTATTATCGTTGCAGACGACGGCAGATGTTTACTAGGCTGAAACGCTCCCCCGAAGACTTTGAACCCGCTGATCTCTTTTCTTTGGATCGAGTGAAAAACTTTTAAGGAAGCCCAACGTCCCGTTCAATATCGCGCAACACCGATATCTCATCTGCTCCTTTCTCTATAAAAAGGTAATAATAATAAAATACAATAATAATTTTCAACCTCATAAACCCATCAAGTCCAAAAACAGTATATATTCAAATAGCACCCCGAATAATCCCTCAATCGAAGAAATTAAGTGATTTTAATTATACTTACCATTTTATAAAGTGCACAAAATATTGAAACAGAAAAGATTAATATTGAACTCAATATTCCAAGAAATGACTCGATGGCTACTAATGATCCACATGGAGGTTGATACATCCCTGAAAAAAAAATAAATTGAATTAGTAATATACAGCATAATTCTTGTTGTATTTTTTCATAGTCCGTTTTTACAGCCAGTAGTGTCCCAGATAATAAAGATTTTACCAAAAGGGAATGGTACCCTTTTAGTCACCTCCTGCTGAACGTTGGTAGAAATAATTTGGTCATCCTCTTCTTCGATCCTGTATCTCGGCAAGCTCTGTTCATCGCATTGTTCGAAACCTGCCGTTAGTTACGTGTCCACAAAGTATAGGATATCGTCGTCGTCTGCGTCCGAAGGAGACCCCATAGGTTCGTGGCACGCGCTGCCAGCTGCCTCACAGCTGTCTTTCTCCTCTGTCGTCCCCTATACACGGGACGGGGTTCTTACCCGAGCGTAGAGTACGTTTACCACACAGAACGAACCGTTCTGTCTTTGTGTGCACATGCATCAAGTTGAAAAACGCGTGAGTCCAAAGTTGTACATATTTCGTAGGTAACCCCGTATATATGCTATTCGTTGCTACGTCGTTGCATACCAAATGAGGCGCACCTTCAAGAAATGTTGAGATGTCCCGTATTGAAAGGGTGAAACGACACCTTTATTGTTCGCCAACAGGATGTCCCTTGGCAAATTTTCAAAGTGCACGTTGTACTGGACGTTCCTGATTTTTATAACCTCGAACCTTATATTCTATCCATCAGTAGTCAATTAGAAATTCTGAAAGTTTCAATTCAAGTGTATTGAAATTTTTTATTTTATAAGAGACCAATTTGTACTGTGCGCTCGAAGGTAAAAAGGACATTTTGAAAGAATTCTAGCATAGCTAGGTTAATTACCCTCAATCGAAATTTCTCATTAGCCTTTCAAATCAGCACATCGTCGATTTCGTGTACGATACCATTACCGTTTCAGTAAAACATCCTATGGGGTTTTACATTTGTGGTTTCCCATCCGGCTCGCTCGACACGCAGGAAATAGTCCTGAAGTGTCCTAGAGGATGCAAGGCTATTAGATTTCGCGTGGAAAAAGAGCGTCAGAGAAAGACGGAGAGTGGGGAAATGGTAACGGGAGACGAAGAGAATATAAGTGCTTACACAAAAAGCATAAAAAAAAAGAGAAAACAAGAAAAAAGATGGAAAACCAAAGTGCGCACGGTAAAGGCCGGAAATCTCAGGGCATTCAACCTTAACACCCGGTATATATTTAGACTTAAAGAGACACGTTCTAATCTGATCGCATAGATACTTTCTTGACAATCCATCGGATGCTGTACAACGGAATGTGAAGATTTAAAATATTGCGAAAATATTATAAATTATATACAGCTGAGTAATTTTCAATAACTCAATTATTTTCATTGCGAAGCAGCTGGTGCAATTAATTTAATGTATTGATAAAGATCTCTCATGTTTGGTAGATCCGATCGGTCCTCATAAATTATTTATTGTTATTGATAAATATACTAGCTGAAGTAATTTACTTCAAATTTTTAGTTGTTATATTTGTAAAAAATTTTTACAAATACCGACCACCCTTTAGTACTCCATGTAACAGATAATCTGAAGGACAACATCCATTAGCACACGGTCGTGATAAGATCGAGGTACCGAAAAAAAAAAAAAAATTGAACGCTTCCGTGAAGGAAGTCGATCGTTTCCTATTTGCTTATTGCATAATCGTGCACGCAATACCCAGGCCAGTATCGGACTACCGCTATACATACACTAAACTTCGAAATATCCAATAAGTGTGCGTACGCTCTCGCACACCTTGCATACACGCAATACTGAAATGCTTAATGCGATCGAGTGAACTCGGTAATTATTTAAATCGGTTATTATAATCGTCTTAATGCAGATGTACGATTGTTCATTAACATATAATTCAACAAAACTTTCAATTAATATTAAAATGTTAATGTGTCAGTATTTAAAAAAAGAACTTGCTAATTAAATTAACAAATTAAAGTTCACAGAATTTCTGCAAAGTTCATAGGCAAACGTGGGGTGGATCTAGAGCTCTTTGAGGGTAAAGAATGTAAAAGTATATTTTTCAAAATTCTTTTGTAAAAGTATTAAAATTTAATAAAATTAGAATATTAACAAAAGGAATTTTATCCTGCAATATAAATTAATTTTTTAAGATTTCACGGTTTTATTACCTTCCTATGAGTTTACAACTGTAACAAATATAATATATAGAATATTCCTGAAGTGATAGGAAATAAAATATGGAGGATAGAAAAATTTTCTTTGGTAAAGATCGTTCGTGAAAGCTGCAAAGTATTTGCGTCTTTAGAGACACAATACTAGCAGCAGCGGCCTTCTCGAAATAGACGAGAAGCCCAGCCTTCCAAACTCGTCTGAAAATAAAACAGGTTTCTTCCCCGTGAACTATGTTGTCTGATTGGTCGAATCTGGCGGAAGAGTTTGCCGATTAATGGACGATTAAAATGAATTACGATTTATGCTCCGTTATCGTTCAATTTTACCCTGAAGAATAAATTATGAGACTCACTGATTCTTTTTTACTTTTTTTTTATTGTCGTCTGTAAAAACAACTTGGAGCAACTGTATCATCCATGAACAATTGTACAAACAATCACTAGTTTATTCGAAACAGAAATACAGATATTTCTTTTGCCTTACGAATTTTGTTTAACATCGACGTGTACAGTTATTGGCAGCAGTCTAAAATAATTATTTCATAAAGATAATTGAATAATAATTATTTTAGTTTAAATTACACTAAGCTTCCAAGGTTTGATTGCTCCGGTGCACCAGAAATCTTAATTCAGTCCTGAATTAACTATTTATGAATTTTGTTATATGTAATTTACGTATAATAATGTAAATATGTCATTAAGTAGTAAAAATGAAAATAATAATAAAAATGTCTTAATTTTTCGGTAATATTAATTGTTATTCCGTGCTTGATGCATGTTCGTCTTGTGTCTCGCATTCAAAGCAATTAATTCCATTACACTTGCACCATCTTCGTTTCGAAAATCCTCCCATTTCATTTTCTTCCGGCTCATATTTATAGAATAATCATCTTCATCTTCCATATAATCATCTTGAATATCTTCATAGTTTTTAATCCAAATATTGTTCCTCAGTAAACGACCTAACACTTTTGCTTTCTTCTGTTTGCGTTTTGATATAATTTTTTTCCTATTATTTGTATCGTCTACATTTCTTTTTCTCAGACTTTTATCAGGCATTTGTTGAAACCATCCTTTACCTTCTTTTGACAGTTCAAATATTGATTTTAAGGATGTAGCAATTGTTTCGTGATTCTTTAAATTATTGGATTTTAATCCATTTATATTCTGATGATTTTTGAACTCTTGATTCAATGGTAAAAGATATATTCCTTTCTGAATCTCATAATTTTCTCTGTTCAATCTCATTGAGGTGTCTTTGATGGCATCACAAGATAATGGTGAAATTGTTGTTAATTCTTGTGATAAATTGTAATTAGCTGAATGTATTCCTAGAAAAGTAATTATTAACAATATTAGAAACATTATTTTTCTGTGTATTAACATTTCATAGGCAATCTCCGGATCATTGACAGTGGTCATATTCATAAGAAAAAATTTAACTTAGCAGAAACCTTAATAAGTACCTTAGAACTTTTTCATCTTTTTCAAAATAATTATAATTATTTTACAATAATAAATTTATATTTTCTATCAACCTAATACATTCGTAGTCAAGAACATTATACAAGAAATGTTTTTGTACTTACTAGCTGAAGTACAGTAATCAACTGTAGTTACCATACTAGTGAATAATAAAACAAACATTTTCATTTTTATTACACAACACATATATTAACATATATTATACTCAATCCTTCTAACTTGATTCTTGTTAATTACGCTAATTAAGTTGTATTCAGGTTAAATAGCTAGAATTACACACACTTTTACATTATTATCATTGTCATACCGTATGAATACGTAAACGATTGGTTTCATACTGAACCGTTGTGATTAGAACTAGTTTTGATCGTTACAAAAGGAAGTAAACAATTTCAAATAGGAACTACAAGAAGACAATATATTCAAATAATAGAATATTCAAATTTGTACATAGGTATTCAGTACTCAGCTATGAGGCACTTAAGACTAAAAGGATGCAAGTGACATTTTTATTTATCTTTTGTTTTTATTTTCAATATTATATTCAACGATTTAACTAATCATTTTTGTTGTTAATTAAAAAAAAGTATCTAAAATGAAATTTATATTATCATTATCTCAATATCTCGCCATCCAAGCGTTAAATAAAATTTGTCACTTAATAAATCTCTTAATCTCTTGTGAATTTACTTTTAGATATAAAAATTACAAAAATCATTAATTTTATGAAACATTAAATTATTCTTCTTATCCTATCCCATATATTTAAACAATACGTTACAATGATTTTATGCCATAGGTCTGAAATCATTGCTCGAGAATGTCGGTGGATTATCCGTCGTATACAGGTGTCTTTTGAAATCGTTAGAAAAATATTCAGGTATTTGTTCCTGATGAAATTGATTCGACAGATAAGGATCACCAGATGGAACAGAATAATAATTGTACTTTTGATCTGAATAAAAATTTACGGGTTTATCGTAAGAAGGTAAATTGTAATTGATATGCTCGTAATCGTGATATTTATAGTCGTTTGTGTCTGTAGTTAAATCAACATGGTTTATATTTGGTGGGTATCCACCGTAGTAATAACCGTAAAATGGATAACTTGTATAATTATAACTTCCTGTTGAATTGTGAGTACCCGGATTTTTTGAAACGTCTGCGTGAGTTTTATTATTATTAATTATATTAGCAAGAGTATTTTGTCCAGAATTTTCGATGCCCTCATGCTCTTTGGAAACATCTTTCAATTTCGTGTTAATTTTCTTCTGTGCATTACATGCAGTATCAGAGGCCGTCACCTGTTTATTATAATGATAAACTGTCGTTAATTGACTTTAAAATAGAACACTTCACAAAGTTATTAAAAACTGGAAAAATTTAATGATACTTATTAAAAATTTAATTTCACCATTCACAAAGTTATAAAAATCATGTTTTTTTGCAATTTCTTGTTTAATTATAAAAATATATACTTGGACAGAAGTATAAATAAAATAATGAAAATTAATAGTATTTAGTAATTTAGAAAATTAATTACTATTTAAAATTAATGAATTTACAATAAAATGTCATGTAATTTTCCCCCCATTTTTTATTAATCACGTTATCAAAATTTCTTCATTTTACCTTTTCTCCTGAAGTCCGATAATCCTCAACTTCGAAATCTCCCCCATGCTCGTTATCACCATTCTCACTTGAAGCTTTCACTTTTTCAACTTTCTTGTTCTCCTCCCCATATTCGTCATTATTATTTATCAAATTCGTTTGTTTAATATTATCCAATAAAGTTTGTAGGTGTTCTGGCAGCGATTGAAAATTTTTATTCGTTCCTCCAAGTGATTGCAATCGTAGCAGATCCAATAAAGGATAAATGCCCAACGGAGCAGTCAAGATGTAAGGATGAGTCAAGTAAGAATAAGGGTTGTAAATGGCAGCGATCTGTGATGAAATTTTGGTAGCATCGACGTTTGAAGGTACAGATGGAGCATTAGTTTTCACGTTGGATGATGCTGCTTTTGCCAAATTATTATTTCTTAAACTAGCTAGAAAAGCCAAGCTTCTCAAATTCTTAGATGTACGATTCGAAGGATCAACTTTTATGTTTGCAATTTCGTTCACTTCTTGTATCGTAGACAAATTTTGTTCCGGAATTAAAATCTTCCATAGAAGTTGCTTTTCCGTATGATTTTCAATATTCATCATAGTAGGCGTTTCCCTTGAAATGGGAATCGTTTTTATTCGATTGGTAGCTGGTACAGTCTTACAACGTGTACCTGTAAACAAATAAGACTAGTTAAATAAAGTCTTGGAGGAAATATTAATTTGGGATTTGAATATTAATACTCACTGTGCCAACAAACACTGACAGTCAAAAGAATAAGAATGAAGAGATTCATTGTCACTGCACGATGTGTGAGACAAAAATGAAACGAAACTGTGAAAGCTATTTGACAAAATTCTAAAGTACCTGCGGGTTACCCTCATCTGTTATCTAGTGAAAGTGCGTTTTTTTAAGCTATCGTTGGAAATGTGTCAATCACGTCGATCAAATGTTTTTATTAGGACATGTGGGTATCTAACATGTCTTCTAAACAAGCTGTTTTCTTTAGAATTAAATAACCACCTTCAAGATGATTATTCCTACATCTAAGCAAAAATTGTACCCTCACTATTATTATATTTCACTTTCAGAATGATTATTTGTATTTTAACATTGATTTAAACGATAATATTTTGTAAAGCTGTTCATATTGTTAAGATACAGTATTTCGAATTTTGAATTTGGCGGGTATGACAGCGACACTGTACTTGCAGCACTGTTTACTACCGCCATAGGAGAAATCTGATTTTTACATGTCAAAAATTTCTGAAATAATGATTAGTACAGTTACAGATGAGGTACAAGTTAATGAAAATAGTAATTTAGAATTTGCTACTTCGGAAAAGCAAGAAGCTCGTGCATTTTTACGTGAACGGTTCCTGCGTGTGATTACCGGCATTGTTGGTATGAAATTTTACCTTCTCTAAATATTTATCTAATTTCTCTTTTCAAATACCTCTGTTATAAAATATTTATTTAATTTATCGGTAAATTTATAATTTTGCATGAGTAGTTTACGAATTACATTTTTATTAAACGAATGTAATTAAGTAATATTGCTTAAATGTGGCGCCAATATCGGAAACCTAGCCTTATAATAAATTAAATTTGACTTTCATTTATGTAAATATAAATAAAATAATAAGTGAAAAGCATGAAGTGCAGAGAAATAGTATAAGTTCATCTTTTAAGGCAGTATTTCTTTTAAAACTGACTATTTAGTGAACTTAAGTTTTGTAAATGTAAATCTTTATGTCACAGGCAAACAAGCAGAGTTTTATTTGTATGAAAATACTCGAGTTTCTGCTGAATTTAGAGGCTGTGACATAGACTTTTTAGAAGTATATGTACGCAACTTGGAAACACCACTAGGGAAGGTTCCAGAAGCTGTTCTCAGGGCAAGTGATATTATTCATCTGGATGTTAAAGATATTAACACAGCATAATAAAATCTCCAAACATGGGTAAGTTACATATGAAATAATACTTTTATTTTTAACATATCTTTTTTAATAACTTATATAAATATTTATGTACAATTCATGAGTTAGGATCGACGCATGTTTAACATTGTATTTATTTCTAAAATAATGCGTCGTAAATGATCAATGATTTCTTTAAGGTGTCTATTTTTTAGTACAACTTGCTGAAAACGCAATTAAAATTAGCTTTTCTTATTTCAATATCTTATTTTTTGTTTCATATGTTACAAAATTTATATTTACCTCTATAATTTCCTTGCTCTCCTCACAAGCAAGTCTGTAAGCTTCAGATGTCTTTTTCTCATCAGATTTCATATCCCATTCTTCTTTTAAAGGAATTAAACTTTCTATATGTGTATATTCCATTCCTTGAAGTTGACAGTTTTCATTACATTTTTCATAAATCAGTCTTAAACGTTTGAATAATAATTTTAGTGTCCTTAATTGGTCTTGTACTTTAGCCTTTTTTTCATTAGATAAACTTGCTCCTTGTGCTGTACCTGAAATTACAATTCTTAAGTCAGTAGTACAGTCATACATGTTCCAAAATAAATTGAATTTCTAATAACCATTTGGTGGTTGGAGAACCCTCAGTGTTTGAAAAACTTCCAAGGTACGACTGACAATATCTTGCACAGTTTCTTGACCAAACCTGCATAAACTGACAGTATTAAATTCTTTGTTTTGTTGCTGTTGTTGAGGTGGTGGTTGTGTGGGAGGTACAGGAGTTTGTGGCGTGGTAGCTTGATTGCCTGTCTGATTATTTTGTTGAACCATTGCAGCTTGTTGCTGTTGTTGCAATTGTAATTGTTGCTGTTGCATCTGTTGTACTTGCTGTTGCATTGCTACAGATTGTTGTTGTTGTTGTTGCTGTGCTAATACTTGTTGAGCACTAGGCATACCCATAGCATTTGAACCTACTCCACCTACACCAACTCCAAATTGTTGAGGATTTACCATACCTGCACATAATGTTATTTTTTAATATCAGCTGTTACTTTACTTACCTTCCCACTAAGAATTTACTTACTGCCTTGTTGTGGGCCCATTAAACCAGATACCATTTGTCCTCCACCAAATTGTGTCCTCATTGCAGATTGTTGTACATTGGGAAATCCAGATGGGAAGGGATGTTGTTGACCAGCCATTTTATCTTAATTTTGTCACAGCTTCACGTTCATAGATCTTGAGTAACACAGGAATCAACCAAGAAAATTAGACAATTTTAAGGTTAGGTATAAGTTTTACTTTATATCTTTATCGTATACGAAGGTTTCGTAATTTTCAACAATTTTACTAAGTTTAATTCATGCTTAGTATTGAATAAAAAAAAAAAAATAATAACAAAGAACAAAAAAACTATGATTTACATTCAGTATACCCGAACGAATAATTTCTATTACGATGCAACCTTGTTCTTTACTTGAAAATAGGTTCCGAATTACTGCATTATTTCATCAACGTGTAAATAATAATAAAATATACACATTTCATCTATACATGTGCAACGCAAAAGTCACGTCTCGCATCTTATATTACAAATTGTTGACATCGTATTGCGCATATATTCTGCGCACATAGTGTCGCTATTGTAATCACGTTAATCGTATCAGAAAAAATTATGAACATGAAATTTGATGCTTACCTTAATCATTTTAATCAAATCTATAATCTTTAATTTATATATTCAATATTATTACTTATACACGAATACGTGTAATTAATAACCTAACAGCACGAGAATAGTAGCTTCCAGAATTTAATACAAGAAATTAGGTACAATATAAAGTATTTCATATATTCAGTATGCTTTAATTTTACCAAAACCAGTTTACTAAAATTCTATTATATTAATAAATAATAAATAACTGCAGTACTAAGGTTTAGTTTAAAAATATCAATAAACCAATGATGTTGTTTCATGTGAATTTGTATCAGTAACACTTTACGTAATTTTTTCTTTCGTATTTTCAATAAAAAATTAACAAACAAAATTATTTCTGTGCGTAAACATACAAAGGGTACGAATTGAATATCGAACATAGGTTGTGTAAAGCATCTCTCAAGATCAAAGTCGAAGTGAAATTCTTCGAAAGATAGGTCAGATTTTGACGGTATTCGAGCGGTGCCCAAACAGGAGATAAGGTCAGCGAACATGAAATGAACACAGTAGACATAACGGCCCAATCTTCAGTCCTTGTGCACCTTGTTTGCCTCTGCGTTCACATTGTTTTTTCCGTCGCAGTCAGTGTCCACCGCAACGGAGGCTGTTACAGGTCGCCCTAAGAAACGATACGCGAAGAAAAGAAAAAAAACAGAATATATCAGTGAGAAACTCTTCAGACATGCTTCATAAAATGCTACACAAACGATTGTTCCTGGTCGTGACTGCTGTAAACATTGTTTCGTTCAGTGAAGAGAAAGCCATTCAGGACTGGAATTTCAAGTTTGATATCACGAACGGTGCTTCGAAGACCTCGAATCAACTTGTAAACGAAGATTCAAATTACAAAGATAACCGAATTAGTGGAATAAATAACGACCCAGTGGACCATGAAAATTGTAGTGACAAGAATTGCAGCGAGAAAGGGAAAGAAAATGATCGTTCGTGTCCTTACGAAAGCAAAGAATTGTGCTTGATATTTTCTTTATCGAAAATTGCTAAAGTTCAGATAGCCTCGTTGAGTGAAGTTGCGGCGGGCCGTAGTATAGAGCCGGACACTAGAAGTGATAAACATTTGAACGTTGCCGAACGAAGGAAAGGAATTTATCTGGATCGTCCGAAAGAACGTGAGAATGAAAATCCTCCACGGACGAGCTCGTCGAGCGTTCAGTGTCGAGCGGTCCGGGATGTTTACATACCGGAAGTCAAGCAACACCTGCCAGCCTTCGCTTGTCAATTTGGGAATAACACGTTCATCTTGTCGAGCGCCAGATTCCTCCAAGATCGACGATCACGTTTGGAGATAAACGTGAACGAGGATACATTTAAGAGCATTAAATCGACTCCAAAAGTATCAAGAAGCAACCAGTTGAACGTGATACCCGCTCTGCTTGTTCTAAACACCGCCAATAACGATTATAGGATAGAAATGCAGGGAAACATTTCTAACGACCAACGAAAGGAAGGAAACTGATAAGATTGAATCATATTTGTAGAAAGTTCAAATACCCGGTGGTAACTTTGACTTGCTTATCTTTCGCTTGGTAAACAAATATCTATATTAAATATTGTAATTACATTTGCATTAGCTTTTGTAATAATTAATAACGACATAAACTAATTTTATACAATTAATCCAGTTCAATCATTTACACTTGTTAAAGATTTTTGTTTTTATAATAACACGCTGAATGCCATGGGGGTCATCAGTGACCCGATCCATAAAAATATTATAAAATAATTGATAGAAAAATTTTTTTATTTTAGATCACATTAATATTATCACTTACACAAGCTTAAATATTATTTTCACTGCGACATTCAACGTGATAAGTGATTTACATAAAACTTGACGTTTATCTTTATTTTCTGAACGGTAAATCTACTTATAATACTTTGACGTTAAAGAAACGGGTATTAAAATCTATTCATCACAATATTTTATACTAATCGTATAACTACAAATAAGTCTCACTATAGAAGGGTACGTTTGCTTTATTTTGATTTTTCTTTCAAAGATTGTTCCTCCGTTCGTTCCTCCTCTGTTTTGAGAAACATGTCCGACGAAGGTAGTACCTTTCGAACGTTGGATAAAATATTCGGCAGACGTTGCTTTTTAACTGGCATTCCTTCGTTTGCCAGCGTGGATATTGGAGCATCCTTGTCGGCCGAATGTTGGGCAGCATCTTTAATTGGAGAAGGGTCAGGTTGAATTGAATAATTGGCGGTTGGATCAACTTCTGTGCGCTGTTTAAAAATTTCTTCGTTAGTATTGCCATTAATTTCATCTGATGACAATCGTAGATGCAGATTCGAATTTAGAAGCTTTGGGCTATCTTTAACGTCGATTTGCAATTTTTCCAGGGCTTCTTTCTCTTCCTCGGTCAGTGGATTAATCTTAAACATAAAATAAAAATTAAAAATTTTATATTAGATACATTATTCTTTTTTTTTCGTATGAGAAAAATAATTTGAGAATTTCATAATTTCAGAAGTCTATATTATAAATAAAAGAAAGACACGTTTCTAAATGACATTCATATATTTTTTATTCATTGTTATTAGAAATTTCCTTGATGTTAGGCACGTATGACGTATATCTTCATTTTTCATTCTTGTCAAACTAGCCAGGTGTTCAATTATCTTGAATCTATGAAAAATGATCCCTGAAGATGTTAATTTATTGTTATTAATACATTATGATACGACCAATTGAAAGGCTGTGATTTTATGAGTCATCGATTTCATCCTTAGATTAACCATCAACGCAAACTTCAATTGAAAGTACATGTATGTATATCCATATATAGAAACAGTGAGGTCGGTATGTTCAAACTGATGATGATATTTCTTGGTATCATCATATTGTTCGTCGTCATTGTGCATACTATTCGAGTGATAGAATATTCGTCAGATAGAGTATCTTCGTCAATGAAATTATTGGATAACAATCTATGTCAAAAAATTCACCAAACAGGACTTTGTTAATTTTTGTTTTTAATTGTTTCATTCGCTAAATATGGTTTTTTCTTTGGTTAAGTATGTGCAAATATATTAAATAATAATATGTCATACTTTAACCACTGGTTTTGGAGCTCCTTTCCGCCTAGGCTTCTCTTGACGATTTTTCTTATCCGTATTGCTTGCATATTTTTCCGTCTCCGTTTTTGTAACTTCCTCTACTGATTTTTTATCATCCTCGTCCTTAGTAGAGAAATGATTGTTCACTTGTCTAATATGTAACGGGTAAATATCATATTTATACGTCTCTTCTTCGACAGGATTGATATTTCCATGACCGGAAATATTATCTAAGTTAATACTCTGTAAGATGATGTTGATATAGTTAGTTGGTTGTTGAAAAAAAGTGCTATTAAAATTTGCAAACTTTTATCTCAATATTTGATAAATGAGAAACTGAAATGTATCTAAAGAAAATAATTAAATTATTCATTTATTTTACAGAATAATATTGAATTTATTAAATTCCAAATGGCTAATATGGCAAATAATTAAATTAAAATTATTCTATTATTCTTAAAATATTCAAGCTATAAGAAATAAAATTTATTTGTATTTTTTAATTTGACTAGAGTTATTTTTTAACTAGATGGATAATAATTTTTAAAAATCGACCTAATTTATTAATTAGTTTTTCATACTTGTTATTTTCACTATAACCCGAATCGGGTATTGATTACCCGAAGAAAGAATTCAGAGAATTTACAATCTATCTTTTGATCTATTTATTATAGCGAATTGGGTCACCTTAGACAAGCTCGATCCTTCGTGAAATGCTTCAGCTAACGCAGGATTTATTTCTTCCAATGGTTGATCACCATGTCTTATATAAACCGGAATATAACCCGGTATACTTGGTAACACTTGGAGTGGCAATGAATCTAAAAGAAATTAGAATTTATGTTACGATTAAATTAAATTAAACTTCGATGGGTACTCGTTTCTAATCGTAGTATGCTCTTTACAATTACAAATCTATTGGAGCTTAATTAAATATTCAAATTAGACCGTACAAGACCATTATTTTCATTCATTAGTGTAAGACATTTTATTTCAAATCATTTTATTCAGTAAACCAGTTTACACTCTATTTTATTTTGTTACACTTTTCAATTAATTAACCCTCGAACAGAAGATAACAGAACAACGACAATTTAGATTTAATTTCAGACTCTGAAGATAATCTTTTAATAAATAAAAGTCTTTAATTGAATAATTTCAGTGTCTGTAATTTTAATCGAAGCACCATTGATGTTCTGGCTTCTCCTTTGTTCGAGGATTAATACCGATGAATAATCAATCACATATTTCCAAGGCACACGAATAACTCGATAAAACATGTTTTCACAGCAATAACACTTGTTCCCACACCAGTTAAGAAATTGAAAAAAAAGGAACACTATGGGATTGTATAGATTTGTATTGCACGATTTTTACGCGGGACTTTCAAAAAATTCATTTACTCACGGCCATAAGTGATAGAGATAGATATAAGAAACACTAGTTCGTAGATAGCCCTGGTACCACGTATTATCTCAGCAACCTGCATCTTTGAACGGTACTGAGCCCCCAGAGTACGGGGCTCTCTCCTTTATATGTACGGTCCCCTCCTACCCTTCAGCAGTCTGCCACAGAAAGGCCCCTCAGGGTTAACGCCGTTCCGTTAATATCGGAGCAAAAAGTCAAATCTTTCCTTTACTTTCGGCAAACGCAGACGAGATCCGACCAACGATCGCTATTGCTGTTATAGCTTTCTTAGAAATTCTCACCGGTAGAGAAGCTGACCTGTAAATCCAGGTGCATCGGTTCCCATTCTGTTAGAAGGATCCTATTTTCAAGGACTGAAAAATGTGATTTTAACTGAGAATTCAATAAGTACAAGAAAAATTGTAACATTGTAAAATATTTGCACCTCGTGTCAATTTACTTATTTTAAAAATAAAAATAAAATAAGATGGAAATTTAGTTAGAATGATACAATAGAAAATCAAATATTAATTAGTATTAATATAAATAATATATAGGTACTATTGTATAATTATTTAATGTTAAATATTTGCTAGCCACGTCACGTCGCATTTTTAATTTTGCACGATTATTACGTGTTGCTACGGTCGTTTGAGATAAATGAAAATGAAATGAAGTAACAATAATTTATCGCAATTAAAATATCTTTTCTTGAGAATTTGAAACAATTACTGTGACACAGAAAACTAAATTACTGCACGAAATATTTTAATATTAAATTCTTGTAAATAAATTAAACTTAAAATTTACCATAAGTAAATGTAAAATATTAGAAATACATATATTTCAATATTTTTACTATTGAAACATTCGCTTGATTTTTTTAAATCAAGTAAATATTTTACATTCTATAACTGACAATGATAAAGAAAATTTTTTATATTAAATAATATTATTCAACGTATAAAGGAAGGAACGTGATATGCTTTTTAGTTAGGAATGGTATGCTACTGATCGGACAGATTCGATCCCTTCGTACAGGTAATCGTACCCCACGAGATCTTTAACCTTGAGTCCTCTTCTTCCTGATCGCTCGAGTGAATCCGATTCTAAGATCGACAGTGCATAAATCTTGTTAATCGAAGGTCGCCACTGATCGATGTACGATAAGCATTGATAAATTATAATCGTAGATTGATTGGATGAAACTCGTTTGTATAATTCATAGAACTTGAACGTATGCAATTCTGTCTAATGTTATTCATCGAAAGTTAATATTATAATTTAATACTTTAAATCACATTAATCCTGTGCTTTTTCTTTTTTAAATTTAAGATTTCTTTTTGAAAAGAAAATTTACACAAATTTAAAATTGTAACTAAGAAAGTATAATACTAGAGGTACTGAGTTAATTTGTGTACCTAATATCAGTAACAATTATGAAAAATTATGAAATATTTATTGTCAGAATTTTTACACAAAGGTTCTGTAAAAAATTACATTATATAAAAGTAGAAAAAGTAAATTTAAAATTTGTATTATTTTTCTTTTTCTCTTATCACAATTAAATACTACATTTTTTAAAATTATCATAAACTTGATGGTCAAAATAAAAAACGGTACTGAATTTCCTAATCCTAATTCGTCGAGTAATTTTCAGTTAGAAACGTGTTATTCATTCTTGTGAATGCACTGTGATTTTGAACTTAACCGTAAAACAAAAAACGGTACTAAATTGCCTGATCCTAATTCTTCGAGTAATCTTCAGCTAGAAACATGTTATTTCTTTTTGTGAATCCTACTGCGATTATTATATCTTTCTCTCGGATTTTCAATAAAATCATGCAGCAACACGATGTTACACGAATACCAAGTTGCTTTTCAATTTCAGCACACAGCTGTTTTATTAGAACGAATAAGTCTCGCAGGTAATAACATATCCTGAACGAAAGGTCAGGATCATGAGGCAACGCGAGGACTCGCGTGTTCATCTTAAATAAGCTTTTTCCAACGCAATGGAGGAGTTAATAAATGTAGAAATAACTCATCTCTGAAGCGATGTGCGTGACAGCATTTCGTAAAATTGTTAAATTAACAACACTTTCTACTATCTTTTGTTGTAGTTTTAGATTACCTTATTATCCTTGGAATAGGATATTCAATTTATTACCGTTTTCTAAGACTGAAGTAAGAATCAAATTACTATAAAATTTATAATCTATTAAGTGTATGAATTAATTCTGTACCTGTTCTTATTTTTAGACAATCATAGTAGCTCCAATTATTGATATCATTTTTATTATCATATTTTCGTGCCACCATAAACACATTTTATATCAACATTGTATATCTCATTTTAACTTATATTGAATTAAGAAAAAGAGTATCATCGGATTCTTCATTTTTCATACTTTTGTTATGACTTTCTTAACACGTGTCACATATTCGTGACTTTAATGCATAACTCATTACATTATTGTCTTTCATACTGTTTTTAATCACAATTTAAAATTAAGTAATTTTGAATGGTGTGTTAAATAAAACTCTCAAATGTAATTCTATACAAATTTTAAGGATCATAAATTCTATGAAATATGCGGTTGTTAAAGTATTTTGATTTAAAATTAATAAAAAGAGAGACAGAGAGAAGAATTTGATATCTCTATACCACATCAATTATTAACGATTTCATTTTCAATAACATACGCATTTACTAAATACATCTGACCTTTAAAATAAAGTTTCAGCTTAAAGTGCCAATCATTTTATAACTTGCCTTAGGTATTACCGAAATCCATTCCGAGTAATATTGTTCAGCACGAGTAACGTATTATCATCGATCAACGTCCCCCTTTCCGCTTGTACGTGTTGAAAAAGTGCGTAAACGACAAGTTACCTATATACTATGTACTATACTGCCGGATATGCATGCATACATTATCTCACCAATCGACACAGATTTCTGGTTTAGTAGGTCACTAGTTGTAACTTCATCTCCCAAATATAGCAATTCTAAGCTGGTACAAGTACCAGTTCCTTAATAAATTTTTTCATTTATAAAGTGATACTTTATACTTCCAGTATTTAGTGTACATACTTGAATATCCTTCGGACGACGTACCATGAAGAGAGCCCCAATTTTAATTTAATTTCGCATTTCACATTATTTTCATTTCCTAAATTTTAGACTCTTCCTCTAAAAATTATTCTTCCAATATATGAAACTCTCTCCTTTAAAAATTATACATTCAATTTTAAATCAGCAACCTTGTATACGTTTTGTAAGTTTGGGTCACGGTTGACCTAGACTTCGTTGTTGAAGGGTTAAATTACTGTAATTGAAACGAACCACTGATTTTTAAATTAGTTGAAAATATTTTGATCATCATTGTAGATCGTCACATGGAACGTGCATTGTAAAATGTGTCGCGAGTAGATCGTTCGCAATTGCCAAACAGGATGTCCTTATTGCACTACACGTTACACGGAACTATCATCGGAGAAGCAGATCATTGATTCGAATGATCTTATGAGTGAATTAGGAAGTGATTCCTCGAGGCATTCTCACGAAAAGGAAAATCACCGCAGAACACTCCACGTTTCTAATAAATAACATACATTTTTACGTATACCCCAGTTGGACATAACCGGTTTCCTTTACGACTCTAAGTAAAACAAAAAGGAGGATGAAATTAGAGCCTTGTAATAATCACCGGCCAACTTAAGCCGTTCCGTGCCGACTAAAAAATCAGGACAGCTAACGTTTCGTAAGAATTCAACGGCTTAGCTAAAGTGTGAAGTTTTTCCTTGAATATTTCTGCGAAATGAAATTTTGATACCCGTGAAGATGTTCTGAAAGAGATCGAAGGAGAAACCGAGGTCCGATTACTTCACTTGTCGGAGTAAGTTTTTACGATTCGCCCCTGGTTCGCCCAGTTTTTCATCACTGCATCGCTCGTCCAGAAGACCTCGAGGGCCGTTTACCGTCTCCGATGGTCAACGACCGGAAAATACTTGTAAAATGTGAAGAAGAAGAAGACTGGCAAAGTACTTCTCGTGATTGAGGCTTCGATTGAAGTCACTCGGTACTCACCGACCCGCAGACCCACATTTTCACTTCATTCCTATCGTCACTTTTTAGTTCAAAATAGATACCCTTATTATTTTTACAATTTTTGTAATATTTTTGTTATTTAAAAAGTGACAATTGAATATCGTGAAAAATATTAATGATGATCAAAAATATTTATTAGAAAAAATTGAAATATTTTAGGGAACACATTTTTCGATTTAATTGCAAATTAACATGCAAATTAACATTACGCTTTCTTAATTATTGTTTTGAATTAAAATTTTTTTCCGTGCTTTTATGGATTCGAAATAGCGCTGGTAATAAATGGCGCCAAATTGCCGGTAACCACGATTACTTGAATAATTGAAATTCCCATAATATTTTTCCAAAATTAATTTACTTGGATAATTCATATTATGGGGGGCTCAACCCTTTTGAAAACATAAAATAGGAAGACCTTCATTTATTCCATTTGATTTTATTAATATGATGATATGCTAATAAAAAATTGTATCACCCAAGATTTAATGCATAATTACGGATTTAAACATTTTGATAAGAAACGATGCAGAAGCAATGGTTAGTTTCCAAGTTCAATGAACTGTTGGAATAACTGTTCAAGTTTAATGGGGGAAATAAAAGGAAGAATTTGATATACCGCGGACAGTATCACTATACGTATACCGATTACGTTATTTGCAAGAAAACTACAATATCACCTAGTCTCGCAGGTTTCACTTCGTTTCGGCGCGGAATTTGTTCCGCACGCGCGCCTCTACTCATTCTCTCGACGGGCTTGCAAAAATAAAGAAAAGAATCGACACTTTACCGTTATGTTCACCCAACTCACGCCATAATTACAGCATGGACTTGCTACTTGCAAGATGTATACAGATACAAGTCGCCGGCGAACTGTACGGAAGAAGCTGCATACCTGTCTTTACCTCTCATTACATAGGTGAAATTGAATCGTTCTATCTATCAGTGTTTTAATATGCGTAATTATTCGTCTACAATTTACTCATTATATTCGAATTATCTGAACGTATGTGAACCATATGCATCATAGGATCATTGAAAAAGTAGTTTTTCAGCTTTCAATTTCATTTCTTTTGACTGCAAGTTCCAAGAATATTAGGAAAACAAGAATTTTATGTTTAATGAACATAAACCTAGATATTTTAATAAACTATGCAACTTTCATTGTCAATTAATTTTAAAAATATACCTTTCGAAATGAACTTTCTCTGTCATTAGTTATATAGTAGTTTACCTTCCTACTGAATGCAAGGATTAAGGAAAAACCTTAACGCTTCGCTCACTTCATGGAAAAAAGAAACTAACATGTTATGCGTAAACGAAGCTTTAGTCATCAAGGAGATTCAGGGAACAGTCACGATATCGAAAGACTAATTAAACCGGTCTTCCACTTCACCACGGATTAATAATAATGCTTGATCGAATATCCTGTTTGATATCAAAGTTATCCAAGGAAAATGATATTATTCGATTGCTATCAATATTATTCAGTCTCAGGATTTAAAGAGAAAAAGAACCAATTTTCTATTCTATGTATATCCCATTGCAGAGATATTCAAATTGTAAACTAAACATTAATATTTTTTTCTCTGAATTCAACCCAGCTCTGCTTTCATACATTCAAAAGTATTAAAATAATCTTTCAAATATAAAAATATTTTTATTCATCTTTTCAGTAGTTCTAACATTTCTGTACAAATTAGTCACAGGGGTGGTAACAGCTTCTCAAGTTGAACAAAAGTACGAATGAAAACTGTCATGATCCACATGATCGATTATCATATTATCATAAACACAGGTAACTCGCGAATCGTACGTATGAATTAATATACTGGCTTGCAATGCACATGGCATGTTAAAAACGATGTTCGTTATCTGGTTGCGCTTCTTCCTCTTTTAACGACGAACATCAATCACCAATGGAACCTGAGATTATTTCCTGGAACTCGCTTGAATCCAACTAATACGATTATTCCTGTGCTTTCATTAAAAACGAAACCCGTTTACTGTATTTCTTATTTCGTCTTTTATTCTCTGTGCACAGTTATACAAATCAGGTGATCAAGATGACAAACGTTACACTGTGGCAAAATTAATGAGATTACTTGTTCGTATCACTTTGTTCAGAACATTTCAGGCAGTAGGTAATTGATGACTTCTCTAACCCTCCAATTCCAACTGGTTTATTTTCCCCTGTAAAAACACGATTGTTTATATCTGTCGATTAAATGGATAAATAAGTGTATGCTTACCAGCTACCGGATTGAGCTTGTGCCGAAGCTGAAGCGTACGAATTTCCACCACCACCACCACTAAAATAAGGAAAAATAAATTATTTTTTGGGGTATTAGGTTGTTGCATATTAAAATTGTTGTGAATTTTGAATATGTACCATGTGCTGCAACCTCCTCCTCCTCCAGAGTGTCCAGGATATCCACCTGTGATAAATACAACAATAGTTCATTTAAATGTAAATTTTTGATTAGAAAAAACTGGAAGTTTAGAAAGTTTGTCAAATATAAAATTTGCACAATTACCTCATAAACTTTCAGTTTATAATTAAATATTTGATCTGAGTAGTTAGGAATCGTTAGTTACATATGAAAATCATTGAGCATTATGTTAGTAGTAATTAATCATTATTTTGTGGTACTTGATTTTTAAATTACCTCATAGCATTACTTTGTAAATTATTAACTCCTTTCCAGGACCGGTTTTCCAAAATTTATTCTAAATGAAATTAGATAACATTTAATCATAGAAAAAGAAGCAACGGTGAACAAAATTTCAGTCAATATTTATTGACATAATAAATGGATGGCTCAGATCGTGGTTCCCTGGAAGGCAGAGCCCGGGGCTGTAGCCCCCCTTAGACCTCCCCTTAATCCGGCGTTGCTTCTTTCCATTGAATTTGTGCTGTTCTTCTTCTCAAACCACTTTTTAAAGAAGTTTAATATAACGTACGAATTATATAATGGAAAATATTTATTAAAAGAAATTTAATATAATTGTGAAACAAAAATTATTTATTGCTTTGTTGATGAGCAGTTGTCTTCCAGAAACAAATATTTTGATAAAATAGTAATGCTTTACTTCAAATTAGATATATCAAATTATTTAATATTTGTGTCTGTTGAGTTGCACTATTCTTCGTTGATTCAAACATATATTGTGAAACCTCCACCATGTTAATACCCACAACCTCCACTATGACACCCACCTCCTCCGCTAGGATATCCACCTCCTCCGCTAGGATATCCACCCCCTCCACAATTTCCACCATGGCATCCACCTCCAGGATATCCACCACCGCCTCCGGGATATCCACCACCTCCGGGATATCCACCGCCTCCTCCAGGATATCCACCACCACCGCTTGGATATCCACCTCCACCTCCAGGATATCCACCACCACCACTTGGATATCCACCTCCGCATCCTACACCGCCTTTGCATCCACCTTTTGATCCACCGCCGTATCCACCACCTGCTCCACCTCCTCCTCCAAATCCACCTCCTCCTCCAAATCCACCTCCTCCTCCATATCCACCACCGCCTCCTAATCCGCCTCCATATCCACCTCCGAGTCCTCCTCCAAGTCCACCTCCGGGTGAACCCGAGCACTTCAAGCACACTGTTCTCTTATTACGAGATTTCTTCATCGTTTCCAGCTTTGCTTTCGATGGCATCATGCCTTCTACATCGCTCTTATCGAGCTTCACTCTGAGCAGTTTGGTTTCACCTGCATCGTTGATTCTTTCGACGTTAAATCCTTCGCTATGTTCCAAATCATCCGCGATTTCGTTGAGATTCACTGGAATGTTGGTCTCTTCATCGTTGTCGTCAACTTCGATGACCAGCAGTACAGTCGCTAAAGGTTCTGTTTCAATTAAATTTGATGGTTAGATTTTTGAAAAAAAAAAATTGATTGATCTTGTAAATTTATAAAATATTTCTTCCAATTGGTTTTATTTATTTAAACTAATTTTAGAGAAACGAAGACATTACTTTTTAGTCTTAACTTAGTAAGTATGATAGTTAAGATTATTATACAATTTATTATTTTTATAGAAAAATTCTTAAATAAGTAGTTGGTTGGTTACCTGATAATTCTGGAACCTTCTGGGCGATTTCATTTTCGAACATTTCGTCCGAAGTTTCACCGCTTGCATTTTTCACTCCATATAAATTTATTACGAAAAATAGATACTGATGCTCCTCTTCTTGCGGTACTGGAGGAGGTTTCAGCTCGGTCGCTAAAGTATATTCTTCCACTTCGGAAGATGCTACCGTCGTTGTTTCTAAAAATCCATTAACATACACTTAGAATTTTAACTGATATTGTCTTTAAAATATAACAATTGTTATTTATTTTTGTAATTAAAACAGACGAATATCCATAGACTATATGAATTAGTATCAAAACAAGAAGTTTATTACTAACTGAGGTACATTATATGTACCAATTTAACTAATTATTATTTATTAATTCTTTTAATTGGAAGAAAAAATAGGAATATCCTTAAGGTACCCTGAAGCAATATCGAAGCACTCACGATCAAATACGGTTTCCTTAAGGAAAATGGTGATATTGGAGAAGCAGGGATTGTCAAAATCCTAATTAAGCATTAAAAGTAATTTAGAAAGAAAAAGATAATTTAATTCTTAATTATCAATTGTTTCAAAATTTAGCTATTGCTACAAAATGTGATCTAACAAAATAAGTCATTTAATTTTTTTTTTAATTAAACATTAAGTATATTCTCCAGAAAAAGTTAATAATCATAATTATTAAAACAAACTGAATGATGTTATTTTACTTGAGCGTATAAAAATTCTAATACTGTAAAGAAGAAAGGGTTAGAGAAAGGGTTATATTGCAATAGAGTATGTATTCTTACCTGGAGTTGGTGCTCCTAAAAGGGCCGTAACAAAGGAAAGTAGGAACAGTGTCCTAAGATAGCTGAACGTTTGGTCAGCCATTGTGAAGAGCTTAAAACTCTTATGATGCACTGTGCTTCGAATCTTTCATCTCACTGCTTTTATAGCTATCGATCTTTACACACGCGCTCAATCCATAGTTATATAACATTCCGAGTAACGTGAATTCACCTCCCCATTGCTGTCTCAGCCCACTACTGTTCCATCTTCTCCTTTTTGGTTTTTCCGCGGGAATTCCAGTTCCGTTCGTTCATACGCACAGTAATGTTGTTGTTTTCAATTTAAACGTGGTCTACACGTTTAATATTGTATTACGACGCGCGTTATGCAATCAAAGGTAGTGCAATTAGTGGTCGAATACAGAAGTAATACATATCTTTAATAAAAGAATATCCATTTTCATCGATTACTCGTGATACATGCTCGTTATAGTAGATGCATGGAATCATTGCGTGAACTATGCTGATAGTGTACATTTTTAATTATATGATCAGAAGTGAAGTTAAAAAGTTGACTATTTGACCCCGGTGTTTGATAAGATGATGCATAAACGTCATTAATTGCAGACAGAAAATTGATGTTACTTCGTGATGATCGAATATTCGATAACTGGAAAAACATAACCAGTGTTAGGCTGGTTAACACTTTATTGCTAAAATTTCTTACGTCAGTTTCTCGTACTTAGTGTATATTAAAAAATTATTAGAAGAGCGGTTGGAAATAACATTTGGAAGACGAATTCGTGTATATGTTTCTTTGTTAAAAAATATGAGATGGCAAATATTTTGCATGTTTGGGTCACGATTGACCCAGGTTTCGCTGTTCAAGGGTTAAAATATTCATAAATATGAATATTTACTGGCATAAAGGAACAAACTTTCTTTCCTGAAATAAATCAAAATAACTACACCTGTCTGATGATTAAAATTCTGACAGGAGGGAAAAAGTTCCCCACATCTATCGCTATAATTTTATTTCACCCAGACAGATGAATTACATACATTTCTAAACAAAATGATGAGATCATTATTCCGTGTGATTCGTACAAATTGTTCCGTGTGTATTCAAACAGGCTACTGCAATCTTTTCTTTCCGTTGACTGTTTTAGAATCTTAATCTCCCGTAACCTTGGCCTATAGAAGCATATCCAACCCATGAATAGTAAGGAATTCGATCATCATATTTTTTCAGGGTATGTCATGATTAAAAAAAAAAATTGACATATGTATTTAAAAATTTTCCATCAATTTTTGTAATTATTAATTATTCTAAACTCTTTCAATTCTGGAAGGGTGAATGAGAGCTTCACCTACCCCATGATTTATTTTTCTATCTGATAATTTTTTTAATTTTGAAAACTTTAGTATTTTAATATTTTGGAAGATCCCAAGATCACTGATGTTTTCTTTTTTCTTAAAATTGCAATACCTACATGTTTTTATCATTAGAATATAACGTAATTACTTAAGAGTAATTCAGTGATCTATAACAACATGAACTTCGTGCGATCTTAACTGTGAAACAAATTGCAAAATAAGATTATCATATTTTGAATACATAAGTATACTATACCATACTGCAAGTGTCATTTGCCAAGTGACATTCAACGTGACTTCATTGATAAAAGACGTCCAATGTTTTCTAGGAAAATAGATTAAGATGTTTCTGAAACATTTTGTAAACAGAAATAGGTAGTTGTATAGATAAAAATAGCAAAGAGAACTGCTACAGTAATTTACAGTTGACAAGAGCTACAATTATCCTATGAATCTACCTTGATTTATGTCATTGTCGTCTTCCTATTATACCCTGCATTCACGTTTTTTCACATTCGTACATAACTCATTTACGTGCACACGTTAGGGTGATTTGTTAAATAACAAAACCTTGATGTAAACGGTTATTTACAAATATTTCATTATTAATAACAATTGAACAAATAGCTTGCATACATTCAAAAATATTTTTTATGAATAATCAGACAAATTATTAATTTGAAAAAATGATTAAACTATTATTTATTTCTTTTTCCAATCAATTATTATAAAAATAAAAATTTGTGATTTTATGTACATTTATATATATTTTTTTTAATGTTTCTATAAAGCATCTATAAAGAAAATTTTATTTATTTAATTTGCACTGACATTTTATGTATAAATTTTTTATTGCAAATAAGTAACTTGGAATAAGTGATTGAAACATGTGAAGGATTGGGAACATTACTCTTTTATTCAGATCAGTATTTAAGATTAATTCTGACAGTAACGGCCATAACTTTCAACGCCATAATCTAAAATTAACATAAAAGTCGAATAATTTACTTTGGTATAATGTACGGTTACGGAGAATTCTTTTTTTAGCGAGTTGTATATCGATTTTGGTGTGATTTAAATAGCGAGTTTCAATATTTGTACAAAAATTGTTAATTGTTCATTTTACTGAATGCGTTACGGAGAAAAGAAGTAAGTAGGTATTGCACCTATTCTTTCTGCACCGGTGTTCCTAGAAACTGGATCTCAAAAAACAATTTATTAGCTTAATTGTAGACGAACACTGATAATATCTTGATATGTAATTACACCTGTAATCGAATGGTAAATTAGATACTTTACTTGTGTACGGGGATTTTCTGAATCGCAGCAAGCTTAGTCACTTCGTGCAATGTTCCCTTGCATTATGAATCATTCTAATGAGGTATCTTAGTGCAATTAACTTTTCACAAAAAATTAAAAACAATAGATTATATTTTTGTGTTGACCCTGCTGTCTCTTTTGGGGTCTATGTGACCCACAATGAAAATTACATTTCCATGTGTACTAATTTACAAGAGTAGTAATATAATTTTTAATTATTAAATATTATAAAATTTAGTATATAATTGAAAAATACGAATACAATTTTCATTGTATTTAAATTCTAATTTTCACTGTATTTAAAGGTAATAATGAAAATTTGTGTATGAAATTTTTATTACATTTACTTTTATCATTGATTATTGCAAAATATTGCATAAAACTTATAGGAAAAGTTTTTAATTAAATTCCAAGTGCAATCATCATTTTTCTCATTTTATACGGTTTGTTCATTATTAACCTACGTCATTTGCTATTCTTGTATTCCGGAAATGCATTAGACGTATCGATGGATAGACAACCTTGCTTATTGATGATTGAAATATCATCTGCGCAGTTTAACTCATAAACATAAACTAATGATATAAAAAAATAATTTTCTTAACTATCAAACGTATTAAAATTTTTCCTGAACTTTTTTAATGAATAAAAGAACAGTTCTTTTATTATAAATCGTATTAAAATGACACTTCTAAATTCTATGTTTTTTCATGCAAATTCAACAAAATCATTAAGCAACATCATTAGTGTCAGCTTAGTATGAAGATTAGCACGAGGCCACTGAATTCAAAATATTTCTCTTCATTAAATTTGTTATGTCGAATGTACAGGGTCTTATCCCGAGACTTCTGTTAGAAATCAAATTGAGAGATGTTAAAATCTAATAAAAGGATTTTAAGCTTCTTTAGCTTCTACTCAAAGGTATCCGCTGCTAATAGACCCTAATTATCCGAGGTACGGTTTTTACGAGTTTCTCTCTCAATGGATAATCGTGAGTCAGTGTCGTAGCCTTGAATTCAATCGGTGAACGTACTGTCTGTCATATGCATGTTACATTATATTATTAGTTATATTATTAATGTCGTCATTTTAGAGAGTTAATTTTCGACTACCTAAATTCTTTGAATATTTCTTTATTAATGTAAATTGGTATACTGAAAAAACAAAACAATTGATATTACATACAGTTAGTTATACACATTACTTTAACTCGTGATGGGTGTACAAATTAATTCTGTTCCTTTTCTTTTTTTTTTAAATTGAATGAAATATATATCTTTCACTTTGCATATCTTAAGGATATGTAAAAGAATTCCATTACTATATTGACATACCTTTAATATTATTAATGAAATATTTATAGTTTTATGACTTTAAAGCTTTCAAATTTAAATTTACAGAACTCTGTAGCAATTGTTATCTACTGCAGTCAGTGTTGATATTCCATGATCTATAGTTACCTTGCTTTGATAAATCAGTGCAGACGATCATTGTCGTTAAAACAGAGCTCTACTCCGTATAAAGAAGATATTTATCAGTGATTCCAAAGATGTCGCGATGAGTTCAAGACCATAATCTGACCTTGGGCATTCCTCCTTTCCTTCGCCTACTTACCTGAGCCAGAATTTAATTCTCCGAACGTGATTTGCGAACGAAACAGGATGCTCAACCTAATGACCCTTAAACAAACTTAGGCTCTTCTGAAATATTATTTTAAACATGCAAAAGGGAAGTAAGAGGATTTTGAAAGTACATGAATGATTTTTATTATCATTCTACATACATTTTTGTATCTATCCTTTAAAAGAACAAAAAAAACAATAAAAGACTGTTTTTCGAATTTTTAAAATTCAGAAAGATGTTTAGTCTTTCTATTTCTCCTGTAATTATGTTACAACAAAAATGTCACTAAATGTAAAAATATCTATAATACTTGTACTATAATACTATTTGTAAAAATAACTTATTCCAAATCAATGGATAAGAAATAAGCGAACTTCTCTAAAATTAAGTTTTTTTCTAATCTTATATTCATCTTTGTATGTCATCGTCATAATACCATCTGTAACTTGGATGCCACTTATGTATATGAATTCGTGGCTGTTTATTATCCCATCTAGGTTGTTGCGTCGAAACGTGTAACATAACTGGTCCTCGATTTTGTTCGCGATTTGGTTTTATGTTGATGTCCAATTTCGGTGTACGTGAAGGCTGATGGCCTAAGAAGTAACAATCGTTAATTAACAATAATTAGTGAAACCTTTGGATATATCAGTGACATAAAATATAGGACATATTTTAAAAATTCATTTTACCATTATTATTATCGTTTGGATGAATATTGGTCCAAACCGGTGGCCTCTGATTTTGTCCCGGAAACCGGATGCTCGTTTCTTCGGGGAACTGGCTGCTACCGGCATTTGACGAGGCAAAAGAATTTGTGGAACCGACAGAAGATGCAGCGGCTGAGGATGCATGTCCATTTTGGACATTTCCCGATGAAGAAGAAGCCGCATTGCCGAAACCAAATGCGTGACTGTTCACGTTGCCTTGATTACCATGTATAGGATGATGTTGACCGACAGCTTGACTCACAGCACCAGAGGCTCCAGTTAATCCTGCGGCTAATGACACCGACTGACTTTGTGAAACGCTCCTAAAAGCAAACGCGTCTCGGTTAATCCATTTGTCAATAACGAAAATGTTCGTGTTTGTTCTATTACCAAGATATCCGGATACCCTAAAGATTCCACTTAACGTGAACACAATACGTAGTTTTATTTTAGTATAATTTTAGTATTCTATCAATTGTTCTAACTTATAATACACTAAGGATCTCTGTATAAAAGTAGAAAAACCAACATACCCAGTGAGTTCAGACAATGGTCGATTAAAACTGTTGCTTTCAGAGTAGCTAACACCTTCAGGCCCTATTTGAAAGCCTAAGGAATGCGCATTGTTTCCCGCATTTACGTTGATATTTGTTCCGATTGGAATAGACAACAATCGTCCATTCTTCATATCAGAGGTCTTGATGAGTTGCTCTGGTATAAGCTCCGGTGGTGTGTTCCATCGTCGTTCCACTTCTTTTGTAAGGGAAGTACGATCATCTACGGATTGAAATACGTTTTCACGTGACACATTCGTTACACTTTTATCGTGAATCCTTCCTTTAGCTCTTATACATACAGGATGAGTCTTACAACATAACGATTTCAAATAACTTCTAAATTATTCACTCTAGAAACAAAATTTTCCAAACGTTAGTTGCATAACTCCTGGAAGCACACGCAGTGCTGCAATCACTTTCTCGTTATTTCACTTTTTTTATCGACATATGAAGGACACTTTCAGTTTTTTGAAGGTTTGCCTAATATTTTTTCTTGAATTTGGATAAAGTATGAAATTTTGCGTTAAAAAGTGTACACTATCAGTAGACAAGTCATAGATCTTGTCATGTCACGAGATATATTCTTCTGAGAAGAAATCGTCATTTACGAAGAATATGATAAAATATATTTTTACCTGCCCACACTGCTAGCAGCACGAAACACAATAGTACAATGTAAAGGATGCTCCTGTCCATGTCTGAGAACGTTCTGACTTCGGCGTGACTGTTCTCCGCCCTTTTTCAATAAGTATGAACGACCTTAAAGTCCTTATTGATATTCATCGTGTGTCCACCCACGTAATACTCTTCGACGAATGGAGTTACAATCACGCGGTGACGCGAACGTTCGAAAGAAATGGGATTTTCAGTGAACCACCATTTGTTTATTTCACAAGCCTGCTAACAAAATACATGTAGAAAGTTTGTAGATATTTGTTAACTTAATTAATCCTCGGACAGCGGACCATGGAGAGGGCCCTAGGTTTTTGTTCCAGGTCCAATTTTAACTGAGTTCCACACAGCATTGCTTGAAAAAATTCTAACTTTTAAATTTTCCTAGAAATTCGTACTCTGATTTTCTGCATAATTTTTATCATTAATTTTAATATAAATGAACCCATCAGTTGTACTATTAAATTATTCATAAATATGAAATTTGGCAAAAGATTTATAGTTTAGGCTTTAAATATTGATCATTTGTAATAATTCTAATTATTGGAAAAATATTGCTATATTAAAATACGTCATTGAAAATCCATGAAATAGTACTCGATTATAAGAACATACTATAAATCGTAAAATAATTGATATTACATCTGTCAATTCATTTCACGGTTTTTCATTGATTCGTAATGCTTGTTTTTTAAACATACATCTTACAATTAGTCACCTATTCTTCATCATACTTGAACCCGGAATATTATTATCACAAGAACGTCATGGATTTTAACTAACAGACTTTTGTTTTTCTAATTATTTAACAAGATTAAATGTCTTACATATGTCTTTGGAACTAATTGTTAGAATATCATTGAATTACTTTTTAGTTCAAATCATTCTAATTTTTTATCAAGCGTTGTAGCATAAAATTATGATTATTATTCCAATTTTTGCTATTGGCACACACGCGATTAAAGTAGGCATCTCCGTCAAATAAAGTAAATTTCAAAATTCCATCTTATTTCAATGAAAATATTCCAATTACTATTTTCAATACATTTTGCTTGAAATGTACCCCGCTTTGTCTCGTACAAAAATTCTAACTACGCTAATGACAGTATTATTGGCTTACTTCTGTTTTTTAATGGAAACAAGTGGGGAAAAAAATTAGCACACTTTACTGTAGTTACATTGTGAATCTTGAACGTGGTTCTCGGGTTCTCAGGTACATGTCTTGACATTGAACCCGAGAGCCAGACGTATAGTACTCCTTTACCTTCGAGCACAATAAACGCTTCTGCAAAAGGGAACAAGCCTGCTGTCCAAAGCATCTGTAGATTAATGCGCAGAAGGTAATCAACTTTCGCGATTGGGTATTCCCCGACAGCGTCAATCGATCTTACAAGAAATATATCTGGCAACCAAGTGATTAAGGATTTATGTAAAATCATCTGTTTCTCACTTATAATTGCTGAAAGCACTGTTCGATGCAATTTTCACGTGAAATTAAATAATCTTTAGGGTCACCGATAAGAAATGATATCAATTTTGATTTTAAATTCATGGAACGCTTTGTTATATAAACAACAGTATCGTATAGAAATGTGGTACAAAAATCAATTTCAATTGCTTAATTCTTGAAAACAGAAACAGATGCGAAGAATAAAAGAATGGTGCTTTGTTCCAACATCAAGTACAGTTGCATCTGTACAAACAATTGTAGATATTAGTCATCACTTTGTGAAACATTCTCCTGTTTCTTTAACTTTTTCGCGAATAATCTGAAGATAATATCTAGATACTATACAAACCAATAAATTTCAACCTTTTCTCTATTTTGCAACATGAATTAGATGTCTTTTACAAATTTCTGTACGATATTTGATAGCTGTTTTTCTCCATCATTCTCAATTTCAAGAAATGTAATTAACAAATTTCTTAATTAAAAAATGGTAAATTTTTACCATTTAAATAAATCTTGTTACAATTATGGAAGCTTCTGAAAATTAATTATTTGAAATAAAACATTTGATTTCTTTAAATAATCAATCAAGGATAACGAAGAAAAAGTACAAGATAGATTTTATTTTTAGAATGATAGATAATTACATTAAAAATTCTTATTTTTAAAAGAATAATTTTTATAATATTATTTTCGAATTAAGAAGTGTCATAGTTCAATAGTACTCAATGTTAGCGACCTCTTAACAATGTGACTGCATCACTGTACCGGAAGTGGCCGCTGCCATTGAATATTGCAAGTGGCACTGCACTTCTCCCGGAACTGTTTTGTTTCAGTACAATGTTTCAAGTCAAGTCATTCTTCTTAGGAAAAATGATAATGCCCCGGCTTCTCATGCTTCCCCATAGACATCCCTATGAAATAATGACAATGTAGGGAAAAGGGTTCCATATTGTACTTACATGGGTCTGTGGTCTCCCACCACTTGCGTATAAAGATTGTATATCAAATTTCATAATACGTAATAATTAATAGTTATATTATTTTTTATAAATTACTTTTAATATTAATCCTATTTTGGAGAAACAGTGTAAAATTTAGAAAATGAAAATAATATGAAATACAAACTTAAATTAAAATTGGAGCTCTCTTTATGGTCCGCCATCCGAGAGTTAAAATCATCAGAATTAATATTTTGAGAATTCTTGCTTCTTTTTATATTTTTCATAACAAATTAATAAATACCAAAAAATATCAGCACACTCTGTTGAATTTAATGAAAGGAAAAATACAAATTGGATATTGTTATGAGAATTAAATCATATTCGTCATATTTCATCGTAACTAATCGTAAGAATCATGAAGTCCTGGTGGAAATTTATGCTGTAATGTTTCATCGTGTTTGTTCCACGATTGATTCTATGAAAATTGTCCGAAAGGTACAAATTTGTCGATTGCTACCCAATAATCAATCAACCACAGAATTATGGGTTATTCTAATCGATTCATCGATCGAATCATTGAGAAACTAGAAAATATTTCTTTATTCATCCTTAGGCACAGTTTTGCCCGTCTACGAAAAAACAATAGATGAACACCTACAATTATCTGCATATAATCAATTGTTACACCACGTGCAACAGGATGTAATGACGATCATGAATTGATCTATCGATTATTACTTATGAGTAATACCATGTGCAGTTTTTCATTATTGACAGTAACAATGAATTGAAATCAAATTTATATTTTAGATAATTTTGGTGACTCATTCTCCTTCATTGATTCTTATTAAAACTGTACAGGTAATTTGAATTTTAAAAGCATGACCTAAAATATATATTTTTTAGAAATAAGGAATGAAAGAAACTAAATGTTGGTTTTGAATTTAAAAAAGAAATAAGATCAATTATTGTTTATAAAAATAAATTATTATTTACAGATATCTGCTTTTAATTTTTAAAATTCCAAATACCTACGTGAACACATCATGAGATATTAATTTCAATAACATTGAAAAATGATTCAACTTTATACGATTAGTTGATAAATTCTGAAATAGTGGAATACCATTTACATTTTTAGTGGAATCAAACGGTACCTCGTATTTGTCATGAATCTGTTTTAAAAATGAAAGACTCGAGTTTTTATCGATGCAAAATATTAGCTTCTATTTTTCTTCACTGGCAAAATTAAACCATAATTTTTTTTTTACAAATAATAAGTAAATGATGCTTATTTCAATCTTTATGTATTAAATTTAAAAAAAGAATTCTATTTAAAAAAAATTTAATTGCCAACCTTAATATTATCTTGACAATACTAAATTATTCAATCTCTCGTTTACAAAAACCATTCAGCTTTGTTTTATAATTAATTTTCACAAATCGAACAGAGCGTGCCGTTTTTCACACGTCGCACATGTTCAAGTGTCAAAACCGAGGCAAGAAACGGAAGTAGATGCGCACGAATGCTATATAAGATGACGAGGCTACCAATTCCCTCAGTCATTCTCTTCCAAACTACGACACCGATAGGATCGATTTGAATTCGTGCGTTCGTTCAGTGATAAACAAGTATACGTTTTTATTGTTTTGTTTTTCCTTTGAACCTTAACCGGTCGATCGCCGATAAAATGGACATCAGACTTTTGACATTACTGTTGTTTCTTTGCGTTGCAACTTCGTTTGCGGATCTTCGTTCGCCTTTATTAAGAACACGTCGAAGTGAGTAAACAAATTGAAACAAATTCTTTTCTTCGTTGATAAACGAAAACGTACATAGACTGCTTCTTCGTGGACATATTGACACCTTGTTTTTACACGTGCATGCATTCCTAACTAAAACTTCAGTTATTAAGGACCAGTGTTGCATTACTATCTCCTTTGCAACTTCTTTGCAATTAATTTTTGTTATTAAATTTCATTTTTCAACATTCTAATTGTGAAAGAAAATCCCAAGGAGCTGAGTAAGCATTTTATTATCCCTATTTCTTCTTCCACTTATGAATAATTATGATAATCATTTATAATTTTAAATTTATTAATTTTCCATTTATAAATAATTTTATAAAAATTTAAATATTTGTAACAATATGATAAACTAATTTCTTTGTTGTATTTCTGGTTTTTGTAACAAACTTCTGTGAAGCATTGATTATTAAAATATTTTGCATAATAAACTTTTTGTTCCGTTATATGCAAAAATACATTAATTCAGTGTTTGGTCCTTAATGAGTTAACAATGAAACAGTAATTACGACGAAATAATTAATTTAATGAGTCACATTATCTTCAATGTTGTGTATAATAAGCATGATTCATTAGATACGTTCCTCGACCTTTCCAAAGACGTTTTAACTAGCGAATGTCGTTTATAAGGAAATCATCTTACACCAAGGATAAGAAGAATAGTATACAACAATAAGTTATATAATCGTTGGGAATTTGAATCATAAGAAAATGCGGGAATTTCAGAATTATTGTGAATCTAACAGTGCGCTGTGAACCTGTGAAACGTTAATGACTTTTGGAACGATTATAACAATTTTTGAAAATTTGAAGAAACTGACTTTGCATTTATGTTGTGAAACAAGTCTGAGCTGCTATTTGTGGTACACACGTATATTTTTCCATGGAAAAAGAAAAAACAGGAATCGGCTGATGTTCGAAACCGGAATCGGTTATCTGAAAAAAAAAGAAAAGAAGAAATATCTGCACAAATACATCTTGTAGTTTTTCAAAATTAATTTATTATGAAAGCTGATAACATTTATAGGCAGTGAAGAATGCTAGAAAATTTGAAGCTATTAAAAAGATATTATGCAGTTGTATTGTGGTATAGTATGATTCAGACAACACTTCCCGAGCTCAAGGTTGAACATTTTATAATTGTGCATACAAATTGATCAGTGTTTTTAAAAGGCTGTAGATGTTCGTAACAACAATTTGAATTTTAAAAAATTTTTAATGCACTGTGTCTTAGATTTAAATAAAACAGAATATTGTATTCAATAATTGATAATGTTGCAATTTTTAAATTATTATTTTACAAGGAATCCATTCCATTTATAGTAAAATTAAATTTGATTTATTATTAATTTTTGTTTACCTAATAATTAATAATATTGTAATATTAAAAATGTTATCTTGCAAGTAAATCCATACCCCTTCATAATAAATTAAATTGAATTTTTTTCAAAGTGATGAAGATACGGTTGCATAAAAGATTTTCAACAGTTATAATATAGTGTTGAAGACCATTTTCAAATAATTTGAAGAAGATACTATTTAGCAAATATTGGTATATGTGTCATGAAGTAACGTTACAAGCGGAAGATTTTTCAATCGCGATAACATCGATAATCGATAATCGATGTTCTTAAGTGCATACAGCGTCAAATGCAGTTGATGTAATGCATTCTTCTTTGCATGTTAGTGCCATTAATACATTGCTGTGCAAAGATAATTTATCACAGCGTTTGCGAACCATGACCTCGTTTCATTTTTCACCTTGACCCTTACCGAGATACTTTCTACTTCCTTTGCTTCTATTTTATTTCCTGCTACATCATAATAACCTCAAGAAACGTACTTATGTCATATTCCAATATAACTCTTTCTACGTAATTTTCAGTTGTAAATAATGAAATTTAAATGGCCATAATAAATTTCTTTATAAGTTGTAAATAATAGTCAGCTTTCTGTTGCCTGCATTTATCTTAAGCAGACTGTACATGGAATTTCCTTGTAACCTCCAGACATTAATATACCGAAAATATTGTTCCAATTTGGCCTTGACAGATGCCTTATTCGGTTTCTGTTTATACATATAGAGAATCACTTTCCAAGGTATACATATAATAGTATACTGTAGTTCGTCGTTTACGCATGAGAATTGTGAAACCTGAATGGATTCTCCTCACGGCATATTAAAGTCTCAGATTGGAAACATTAAACTGTCGTAAAATAAGAAACATGACATAAATAGTGATTACAAAAAATCTTGAAATCTAGAGGTATAATAGTAATATAATACTTATTGTTAATATAAATCAAAATCATATTTTTGTAATGTAAAAACCTATGTAGTTTATTTAACCCTCGGACGGCGGACCATGGAGCGAGCCACAATT